CCGCCGCTGTGGCCGGGGGGCCCGCTGCTGCCGCCGCTGTGGCCGGGGGGCCCGCTGCTGCCGCCGCTGTGGCCGGGGGGCCCGCTGCTGCCGCCGCTGTGGCCGGGGGGCCCGCTGCTGCCGCTGGGGGGCCCGCTGCTGCCGCCGCTGTGGCCGGGGGGGCCTCTGCTGTCGCCGCTGTGGCCGGGGCGGCCTCTGCTGTCGCTGCTGTGGCCGGGGGGGCTGTTGTTGTGGCCAAAGTGGCTGATGATGCCGCTGTTGCTGCTGGCGACGGAGGAGTGGGCGGCGCGGGCGTCTGCAGCAGCGGAGGCGGCGGCGGCGGCGCGGGCGCCGCCGCTGGGGGCGGCGGGGCCGAGACTGCTGCTGGCGGTGGCGCTAGTGCCTGTAGTGGAGGTGCCGCCGCCACTGCTGCTCCCGTGGGGGCCGAGTCTAGCCTCTGCCGTTTGGGCCTCTCCACTACCAGGCTGGCCAACAGCGGCGGAGGCTTGATGGGCCGCAGGTTCCTCTTGCGGGCTGTTGCGCCGCATTCCAGGCAGGAGATGTTGAGCTTGGGCTCGCCCAGGCGTTGCCCGATGCAGGCCGTGCAGAAGTTGTGGCCACAGGGGAGGCACACCGGATCCGGGCAGTAGACGCGGCATAGGGAGCACCAGGTTTCGCTCGGGTAGCGCGGGCCCGCGGGGATCTCAGCGGGCGTCGTGCCTGGCGGAGGCGAGTCAGGCGGCGACGGCGGCGAGAGCGGGCACGGCGGCGGCAGTAGCGGAGGAGGCAGCGGGCCGCCTACGCCCAGGCCCGGGTGGCCGTGGATGAGCGCCTGGTGGTGCGGCGGCGGCACCGCCTGCTGCTGATGCTGAGAGCTCCGCAGGCGGCTGCGGAGGAGCCGCTGCTGCAGCAGCTGCTCCGCCGTCATGCCCCCCAGACCACCGCTCATGATGCCGACCTGCCGAACACTCGCGCGTCTGCCCGCGAGGACCGCGCGATGCCCTTCCTGCGAGCGCCCGGATTGGACGAGCTACGTGAGGGAGGGGGCGCGGCCAGGAAGGAGACGCCAAAGCGGAAGCGAGGGCATGACGGGAAAGTATTACGCGGCTAACCCTTTGGGCGCCGGAGGGGAGGAAGTGCAGCGGAAAGTGGCCTAGACAGGCGTTGAGCGAGAGCCAACGCGCGAGCCCGTTCGTCTGCGTTTATCTCCGCCGGCAGGTGCCTCCTGCTGCGTGGACTACCGCTTCCATCCTCCCCGGGCAGGATGGCTATATTCGTGGAATGGGGAAGACCGTTTTATATTCTAGGTGGGTGGGCAACCTGTGGCCCCCCAGATGTTTTGGCCTAGATCTCTCATCCTCTGTCGCCATTGACTATGTTGACTAAGGCTGATGGGAGTTGTAGGCAAAGCTCAAATTGCACTAACAGTTCCTAGGCAAAAGTAGGGGCAGTTGAACAAAAACTTGGAAAGGCTATCTCTGATAAACAGGAAAAGTTGTGGGGAAAAGGCAGGAAGAGTTAAAGATTAACCCCTGGTATGCACCAGCAGTTTCTATCCCCTAGGCAAAGATTAGCTAAAGCTCAAAGTAAGTGTTACAAATTACCAAAACTAATAGCAAGGAGCCAATTGGGAGAAATTCTTGCACATAGGCAGACTCTGGATGATCTTTAGTAATGTAACTAGGATGCAGTGATAGAGCCATCTCTAATGGCCCTTCCTAGGCCAAGGTGCAATGCAGCAGCCAAAAGCCATGAAATGTACAGTTGTTTAAACAAATTATGTCATTTTTAAAGTTTGGGATCATTAAGCATGGCTTCAAGATTATAGATGGCAGGCTGGGTTTCTGCTTGCACAGGGGCTCAGCAAGAATAAACAGATGGACTGGCACATGCTGTGTTTTTTACTTTGGTTTCATGGCTGTATTTTAAACAGTAAGGGTACCATCAAATGTGTCCGTCACTGTCCAAACTTGGAGGATTGTGGGCATCCAATTGGTGGGTAAAAGGAGCACAGAAGCAAATGCTGCCTCAGCACTCTTCCTGCCCTCTAAAATGCTAAGATGGCGCACAAACTGTTTCATGACATCTTGTGAAGGGAGGAGCTGGACACACCACCACACTTCCTCTTATGATGGTGGATCCTGGCTCTTTCCCACCCTACCTCCTGTAATATTTTAATTATTTTGTGCACCATCCTGAGATTTTTTTAAAATATAAGATGGTATGGAAAATAAATAAAATAATGTTCTCCTGGCACGTGGAAAGATCTGCACCCACTGTCAGGGTGGAGGGAAGGCACTCCCAAGGCAAAGTTCCAGCTCCAACCTTGGAGCACTTTTCTAAGATCAGATCTGGACTCTGCCTTTTCCTAGGGCCACCTAGACAGCATTTAGTGGCCATAGGATTGTGCCCTAAAGCAGAATCAGTCACTATATTCTAATATGAGGGAGACTTGAGACTTTGGCCAACTAACACTAATTGAAGAACAACTAGCACATTCTATACCTAAGAACTACTAATATATTTAAAAGATGGTTCTGATGAATGAGAATTTGAAGTTTTCAGCAGCAGTGCCCTTAAAAGATCTGCAATAAATATATTTTAAAATTATCCCAGATTTTACTACACTGGTACCTCGGCTCACGAACGCCTCAGTTCACGACCAAATCAGGTCGCAAACAGAAATTGCAGAAAAAAATTGCCTCAGGGCGATGATTCTGATCGTGCCCATATTCCCTGCACGAGCACGATCACGGCCATCTCCCACTGCCCCCCCCCCCCTCCCGATCGCTATCTCACAATTACCGTTTAGAATCCCCTTCCAAACAAAACCCCCCCCCCCGGCTGTACTATACTTTGTTACTTTGTAGTTCTTTGTTACTTTGTTTCAAATTTTTGTGATTAAAAAAATACAGAATGGATTAACCTTCTTTACATTAAACCTTATGGGGAAATTTGACTGGTTGCAACCAGTTCCAGAGTCGTGGAATGGACTAAGTTCATGAGCTGAGGTACCACTGTAATTAGCTTCTCACAATCCTATACAATATTCTTAAGAAGGCCTACTGAGTAACTCCTACTGAGTTCAGTAAGAGTTACTCCTGGCTAAGTGTGTATTACAGCCTAAAGCTGATTTGGGGCTATTGCCACATTCAGCCATGAAACTTACTGGGTGGCTTTAGGCCAGTACATGATTCTTAGCCTAACCTCATAGAGCTTTGAAAAATGTAGAGGAGAATTAGCTTCTTTAGGGTCCTTGCAGGGAAAATTGGGATACAAATATCATAAAGAAAACAACCTACGCAGTCTTGTTTCTTCAAAAGCCTCTTCTTTAGCCCACTAATAAGGTCTGTTAGGCTGATGGGGACCAGAAACAAGACCTTTCTGATGGTGCCCTCAAACCAGGAATGGGGAGTCTGGGTCTGCCAGACCACAACTTCCAGCAGCCCCAAACAATGGATGAGGAATATGGTAGTTGTAGGCCAACAATATCTTGAGGCTACAGGTCCTTACTCCAAACCTTTGGATTTTTTCCCCCATAAAAATCTGCCACACTACTTTCTTTGACCTTCCAGAGCAGATTTTCACAGAGGGGTGTGTATGTGGGGGGACACCATCTCAATCCCACATCCATTATAAAGGTTTCCACTGAATTAAAAGCTCTTCCACAAACGGAAGGACACCACTGAATGCAACCCAACGACTTGGGCCAAACTTTCAATGTTTGGGCATTTCATTTGAAGTGTAACTAACATATTTTGCAGCAGTGCCAAAATTAAGACTCCAAATCACTCTTTTGGTATTTTAAGTTCTAAACTTCACTTTGAATTCAGTATCAAAGCTTCAGATTGGCTTCTTGGTAAAGATTAGGGGTTTATCAGTTTGGGATTAAGTATTACCTCAATTCGCTTTTTCCAGCCTGGTGCCCTCCTGATATTTTTAAGCAGAGCCCCTAGCATTCCTGAGCATTGGCTATATCAGATGGGATCAACAGATGACTGGGGAGACGGGGCCGACCTTGGCAGGCGCCTGCTTCTGCTGCCTAGGCAGCCACCAAAGGGCACCACACATTTGGCACCCATTCAGCGGCCTCTTGGTGGTGCTTGGAGTTGTGTGTGTGTGGGGGGGGGGTGCTTTGTTTTCTGTTTTTTGTTTTCTTCCCCTCCCCACCCTTCCATCCTCCTAGTTTGGATATCTGAGAGGACATGAGAAGGTAGTGATGATGATTTTAGGATGTGTTAGAGGCGACATGAATTTAGGTGGGTTTACAAGAGAGATAGGTAGGTAGCAAGGATGTTGGATGCTAGACAGTAGGTGGAGGAAATAGTAGATTAAGAGATGGAGGGCAGATGATTAAGTTGGCTATAGGAACTGAGAGGAAGGTTGGTATGGAATAGAGGGAAGAAGTCTCCCGCCAGTGTTTACTTACTTAGGTATGCTTTTGGGAGACTCTGGCAGCACCAGGATGCCCCTATTACTGTGATCATGGACAGGGAGAGGTATGACATTGGGGATTTAGCTAGCCAGCAAAGGAGAAGGGAGGTTAGGTATCTCACGCCTATCCCCTCTTCTGGCTCCTTCCCCAGCCAGACAATGCCAGGTAACCCATCTCCTACCCCCAGGCCTGGTGGTTTTGCTGTTAAATGCCAGGTCAGTCCAAAACAAAATCCCTCTAATACTCCCCAGAGAGGTCCGCCTGGCGCCGTTATTTGTTTTTCGGCGCCAGGCGAAGACCTTTTTATTTAAGCGGCATTTTAACTGTTAATTTTACTGGATTTTATCTGGCCAGGGCGGCTCATTTTATATTGTATTTTTAATTTAATGTTTATATTTTTTGTAATTTAATATTATAATTATTTTCAATTTATTGTTGTAAGCCGCCCCGAGGCTTCGGCAAATGGGGCGGCATAAAAATGTTTAAATAAATAAATAAATAAATAATACCTGATTTGATAATAGATGAGGAGCTGACCTGGCTTGTATTATTGAAACCTGGATGGGGGAGTTAGGCAATGTCACTCTTTCACAGCTATGTCCACCCAGGTACTCCGTACAGCACTAACATTGACCTGGAGGTTGGGGAGAAGGTGTGGCGGTCATCCGTAGGAGTGCTTTGCCTCTCATGAGGTTTTCTGTTCTCTTAGAGACAGGTCTTGAGTGTTTACACCTGGTGGTGGGCCATTGAGACAGAGTATGAGTTCTGCCGGTGTACCTCCTACCTTACTGCACAGCAGACCCCTCGCCTGAGCTGACAGAGGTGTTTTTGGACCTGGCGTTGAGGGATCCCAGATTGCTCGTTCTGGGGGACTTCAGCCATCCACACTGAGGCGACCTTGCCTGGGGCAGCTCAGGACTTCATGGCCACCATGACAGCCATGGAGCTGTCTCAATACATCACTGGTGCAACACATGAAAAGGGTCACACTCTCGACCTGGTCTTTTCGACAGGGCAAGAGGATGGTGATCTGGAGGTGCAGAGTGTAATACTAACCCCTTTGGGTCAGGTCAGATCACTTCCTGGTGAAGTTTAGACTGGCAACCACTTCCCCCCTCTGTAAGGGCGAGGGACCCATTGGATTGGTCCACCCCCAGAGTCCAATGGAGCCAGATGGTTTCCAGAGGGCCCTGGGGGATTTTCTGGCTGATATGGTTGGTGCTTCTGTAGAAGCCCAGGTCACGTTGTGGAAGATGGCAGTGGCCTGGGCAGTTGACAGGATTGCCCGTTAACACCCCTTGCCCTGTGCAGAGCCTGCTCAGCTCCTTGGTATACGACTGAATTGTGGGCAATGATGGCTAAAGTGGGCAGATGGCTAAAGTGGAGGTGGAGGAAAACCCGGGATGAATCTGACCAAACACGGCTTAGAGTTCATTATCAAGCTTATTGTGAGCCGTCCAGAGATTGTGAGCCATCCCGAGATGCCTTACATCTCGGACAGCCCCAGATAAACCCACGTCTGGGTTTATATGGGGGATGGCATATCCATTTTAAATAAATAAATAAAGTAAGTAAGTAAGTGGCAGGGAAGGTGGCAAAGAGAAATTTCAATTCCACCAGCATCACATCCCCAGAGTGCCACCCAACAGAGCTGTTCTAAGTGGTTTGAGGCTTACTTCGAACTGCCCTAAAAGAAAACATCTAGAACCCTCATTCTAGTGGCCTGCTGTGACAAGTTGCTCAGCACTTTGAGAATAAAGTTGCTCGGATTCATCACAAATTGCAACCTGTATTTAATGTAGTCCATAAAGCAGAGGTGTCCGTTGCACCATCTAGATCTATTTAACTGGATGAGTTTCAATTATTGAAGCCTGAGGATGTGGACAAGATACTTGGAGACGTTTGCTCAACCACCTGCTTGCTCAACCCTTACCTTCATGGGTGATCATCCAGGCCAAGAAGGGGGCGAATGCCTGGATCCAGATTATAAATGGCTTTCTGAAAGAGGGCTTGGTCCCAGCTCCTTTAAAGGAGGCAGTGATCAGGCCCTCCCGAAGAAGGCTTCCCTGGATCTGGAGGCTATAGGGCCAAATCCCGTTCCTGGGCAAGATGCTTGAGCAGATGGTGGCCCAGCAACCCCAGGTACTCTTGGAGGAAACTGGCCATCTTAACCCATTTCAGTCTGGCTTTAGTACTGGGTTTGGCATGGAGTCAGTCCTGGTTGCCTTGTACGATGACCTTTGCAGGGAGAAAGATGGGGAGTGTGTCCAGTTGGCAGCTTTTGATATCATTGACCATGGTATCTCCTGGATTGGGAGTGGGAGGCACCGCTTAGTGGGGATTCTGCTCCTACCTGGCCAGCCATTTCCAGGAGGTGGGGGGGGGGGATGGATCAGTGCCATGGAGTGCTGCCGGGATCCATACCTTTCCCCATGCTATTCAACAACTACATGTTACTGCTGAGAGAGGTCATCCAGAGGTTTGGGCTGAAGTTTCATCACGCTGATGATACTCAGCTCTACCTTTTTCATCTGATCTAGGTGTGGCTGTCTCAGTGCTAAACCAGGGTCTGAGCAAGGTGATAGATTGGTTGAGGACTAATACAATGAGACTTAATCTATACAAGACGAAGGTCCTGTTGGTAGGTGGGTCCCTTGTCCAGTTGGATGACATCTGTCCTGTTGCACTCTCCCTAAAGGACAGGATTCAAAGTTTGGGGGTGCTTCTTGACCCAGAGCTGACCTTAGAACACCAGGTGAGCTCTGTGAGCAGGAGCATCTGTCCGCAGCTTCGGCTGATTTTCCAACTTCACACCTATCTGGACAGGCAAAACCTAGCAACAGTGACCCATGCCCTGGTGACCTCTTGCTTGGACTACTGCAATGCACTCGATGTGGGTCTGCCCTTGAAAACAGCCTGGAAATTGCAACTCTGCGGAATAGAGCAGTTCTCCTCTTAACGAGAACACCGAGGCATTGACACGCTCCAGTGTTAAAGCATCTTCACTGGCTGCCAGTTGAATTCAGGACCCACTTTAAATAACTTATAAGGCCCTAAACAGTTTAGGACCTGGATATCTAATGGAATGTCTTCTTCTATATATACCTGCCCAGACCCTAAGGTCATCAGCATAGGTCCTTCTTCTTTGGGAGCTTGCTGTAAAGGACACAGAAACAGAGTGAGTCAGAAGGGGCCTCCCAGGCCATCTAGTCTGACCCCCGGCTCCAGCCAGCTCCTCATGACATGCCTACCATGTGCATGTCTATAAAGACGGTGAAGAAGGGCCTTTTCAACCATAGCCCCCTGGTTATGGAACCAGCTCCCTAGAGGTGTGTGCCTGGTGCCAACACTAAATACCTTTCAGCACCAGGCAAAAACCTTTTTTATTTTCACATTAATTGTGAAAAAAGTATTTTTATCCTATTTATTTTATATGACACTCAGGTAGTTTGTATATTTTAACTCCATTATTTTTATAATTATTTCTACTAGATTATATTTTGGTTGTATATTTTCTTGTAATTCTGATTTTTAATTGGTTTTGTTTAAATATGTATGGTAGTGTTTGCTATCTTTTTAAAATTTTAAGATACTGTAAAATGTCCTGAGAGTCATTGACTCAATAGGAATGGTATAGGTTTTAAATAAATTAAAAATATCCAACGTATGAGAAGGGCAGCTGCAGGAACTGGTCCTTTCCTCATCAGAAATCCAGTGATCATATCTGAGGCTATTTCACCACATCCTAGTAAGAAAAGCCCACATCTTCATGCCATCCAGATCCTTTACACTGGAAGCTACTCACACATGTCTAGTTTCTGTTTGGCAATTTGGTTTTTAAGAAAGCCACTTGGAAGAAAGAATGGGGGTGGCAGTCCAAGAAGCTTCTCAGAAAGTTCCCCTGTTGCAGTCACCAGCCCTTCCACACATCTCTCCTGCCTAAGAGGTAGGGCAGGGGGAATAGTATTTTTCAGAGATCCAGATCTGGTGCTAAGTCCTTCGGTCAAATCAGCTGAGAAAAGGGGCTTTCTTCACAACAGGAACCCACACAAGAATTTTCTGTTCACTTAAGAGATTTTTAATGCAACAACAACACATTTTTCTAGATCAAAGTATATACATATCTGTTGAGGCTTATCAAAGAAGAAAACACCTCTTCCAAAAGTGCAAGGTTTGTCACAACAGGTTGCTTACAGTGCAATCCTTCGCATATTGACTCAGAAGTAGATCCCTGTGCACTCAAGAAGAGTTATCTCAGGTGAGTGTGTATGTCATGTAGAATTGCATCCTTTCTACAACAAGGTTTCCCATGCATCTATTTTGTGCACTTGAAGTCAGTGGGTCCAAAAGCAATACAAGAGCAAACTAACTGCAGCTTATGTGGTTTCTTGATTGTTGTTATTGCTGCCAGAGTACCTTAGACTAAGTCAGACTAGCTGTCATGTCTTTTACAAGGAACGCAGAAAGGGGACTAAATTATGTTCACATTCTTTAAGAAAGGCTATGAATTGCAGTGGTCTACCTGGGAAGCCACAGCATATAATTTATTTTAGGATTAGAGCACAGATACAGCCAAGGACCACTGCCTGGAAGTTCTCCATACAACCATCCTTACATTTTTGGGCTTATCTTGCTGATCCTGAATTATGCTCCTCCTGCTTTTGGGTATTTGAGTTCATGGTGAAGAAAATTATGTACCTGAATCAGATATTTGAGCTTTTCAGGTAGCATGTTTTCCAAGCAGAAGCAGTATGGGTGAGGGCAGCAGATGTAGGGAAGCATATATTCTACAAAGTTTCCACAAACAGAAATGGGTACAAAGAACACAGAACTCAGCAACCTGGAAAATCTCAAGTTTTCTTTAAAAAGGAAGTTCCTAGCCCTTAGGGCTACAAAGGAAGTATTGATAGTACTGGGTCAAAGCCTAGCGAAAGCTTAGAAGCTGACCAAGGGAAGTGAAAGGGACTGTGTAAATACGAAATGTAAAGATGCCACCCCACAGTGGGGATGCAGAGAGTATCTCTCTCTTTTGAGGCATATTGAAATGAACCAATGACTTCTAGAACAGAAGCTTAGAATTACCACATGGGGCTTTAAAAATAGTGATGCAGAAATAGTACAGATACAAAGAAATAAATAACAGCTGTAATATTAATAAGAGCTCTGCTATCGGGGATGGGGTGGAGAGGGGGCAATCAAAGCTTCAGACCCACTGCCTTATCTCAGATTGCAGTGCTACACAGACTCACTGAACTTACTTCTGAGCAAATGTGCCTGGTATTGTGCTGCAAATTACCAATTACATATTAAAGGGAAGCATTTTCCTAATTACAAGACATTACATAGAAGAAACAGGAAGGTTAAGGTGGAAAGCGGAAAGGGTATCATTAAGGGAGGACTGTAGAGCTTCAGAGGTATGTTCTTCTAGCAGTGAGGATTCTTTTCTCCCACCTCCTCTTCTCTTCTTCTCATCTCCTTCTACAAGCCTGCTCATGAGCCAGAGGGACTGTGCACTGCATCACCCCCCCTTCCTCCCTGTGCTGCTGGGCTGAGACTGGGATGGGAGAGGCAACGCACTGAAGAGACACTGCCTGCCCCCCACCAGTTAGCAGCATTCTGCCCACCATGTTCCAACCTTGGCAAAGAGAAAGAGGAAAATGTGTGAACCAGCAAAAGGTTAATATACAGTAAAGGAGAAAATGGAAGAGCAGCCATTCCATCCGGCTGAGCATGAAAAGGGAAGCAGGGTCACTCCGTCAGCATTGCTCAGAAGCCAGTTTTATCAAGCTCTTCCATCACTGAGGTGAGATAGAGAAAGGAAACAGGGCCATTGCACCAACCCTGCTGACAGATCAGCAACATTCAGCTCCTGTTCTTGATGTTTATATCCCAACTGGCCCTTACAAGAACTCTGAAGCTAAGAACGTGGCACTCCTCCCTCCATCTCCTTCTACCCTCCTCCCTCTCAATCTCTCTTTCTTTTCTGTCATGCATTAGATCGCAGGGATGATCCTATTCTGGCATGTCATCCTGGAAGCCTTTTCTGGCTGAGGAAGACTGGGGTTGCAGTGATCGAAAGAAATACATAAAATTATCCATTAAGAGATACGTTGTTGAAATGCAGCATAAAACACTTTTTTAAAATGAAGCATTCTTTACCAATACCATAATCCTAAATATTCTGAGGTGGAACCACTGAAACGATCCGGACTTGCTTCTAAATAAAGTATAACTTAAATAGAAGGATGAATAACACAAAAGCTAGATGAGGTGACACAAGATTAAAGGAAAATGAAATATATTATATGCGGCCTGTAATGAAATATCGGTAAAGATGCAAATTATGTACAATGGAAGTTTTAAAAAAGAAATACAAATGGAGAATGGAGGAACATATTCCTCTACTTACTTGGAAAGGTGGAGGTCTCTGGAATGGATCCTAACTTTTAACTCCATGAATGGAAGTTTCTGTTCACAGAAGGTTCCCTTCTGTGAGTGCAATGCAGGCTGCTTCTGCCCATGGAGTGCAGAGGTAGGATCCAAGCCTTTTTCTTTCTTCTTTTAACATCAACACTCCGTTCCATTTGTAAGATTCCGTTCAAAGTATGCACAGATGGCATCGCAGATCGTAAAAGCTGATCAATGTACTGCAGGAAGTTTTTCAGGGACACATTCTAAGTTCTGTAGTTAGACCCCACAATTTAAAGAAAGGACAAATTTTCTCTCCACAGAAATTGGCTGACCGAAAAATAAAAATTAGGGACATATAATCAGCATCAAAGAATGCCACCCAACCCCTTTCATAATGCACAAATACTTGGATTTTCTCAGGGGCTTCATCTAGGGTCAGGCGAGTGTCGGAAGAAGTGAAAGCCTTGTACTCTTCCCCACACAGCCCCAGAGCCCAGATCCCCTCGTCAGGGCAAGTGATAACAGGTCCCTTTCTCTTCACGGATTCCCTGGCAACACCGACAGCCCAGTTTTGCCCATCGCCTACTTCCACCTCCCAGTAATGGATCCCCGAGGAGAATCTCTCAGTGCCCAGCAAAATGAGTGTGGCATCAAATCTCTCCGGGTTGTTGGGGAGCGGCTGGACCATGTCCCCACGTTTCACATTCTTCTTATCTTCACTCACCACAAACAGGGGATGAGCTGTGTTTGGATCCAATGTAATGCTTGCTGGGGAGAAACAAAAAGCAGAGGTCAGGAGAGCTGGACCACAATGGTGGAGCACCGTTTCACATGGAGATGGTTCCAACCTCAATATGCAGCATCTCCACTTAAGGCAGGAAAAACTCTTGCCTGAAACCCTGAGGAGCTGCTGCCAGTCAGTGTCAACAGCACTGGCTAGGCGGACCATACGTCTGATTCCATTTAAGGCAGCTTCCTACCGCCAATATTTTACAAGTAGGTTCAGAACATTTCACTGCAAGCCAAAGTAGGGACTAAGAGAAGTAATTTTCCCAGCATTTTTCATTTTCCTGGCATTTTAATAATTAATTAGTTTTATCCTTGTCTTTACCATAATTTATCGGATGCAGCGTGTTGTGTGTTGCTGTTATGTTTTTTTTTTTTTTGTTCTTTGGTTTTTTGTTCTTTGCAAACTGTCCAGAGTCTTTTGGTAAAGAGACGGCAAAGAAAAACTTTAAATAAAATAAAATAAATAAAGGAAAGAGTAGATGATAGAAAAGGGCTATCATTTGACCAGAATACTACTGGCTAAGCACTACTTTCTATTGTCTGGACCGGCTGCACAGTGAGAAGCTGATAGAAGTCTAGCATTGACCTGGCAGAGCAGGAAATGAATGAACACCATTGTGGCTAAAGCTGGGAAGACTTGGGTTCCTAACCAGCCCCCAAGCGCAGTGGGTGAGCTTGGGCCAGTTTCCCTCTCCAGCCTCATCTTCCTCATAGGGTTGTTATGAGGGTAAAATGGAGGAGGAGGAACCACAAGCCGATGCGGCATAGGGGTCAGTGGGCCAGACTGGGATCCAGGAGATCCAGTTTCTAGTTGCCACCCTATCGTGAAGCTAACTGGGCCAGTCACCGATGCTCAGCCTAGCTCCCTTCCAGGGTTCTTATACAGATAAAATGGAGGAGGAGGAGGCTCATGGGTTCCTTGGAGGAAAAAATGGCAGAATAATGAATGAATGAACAAACTGTCTTCACTCCCTGAGAGAAAGGAGGGCTAAAATGTAGCAATGAACATATGTGCATGCACAGTGAAGGCCTCCCCCGCCACAGGAGCTGAGAGCCTTCGGGCAAGGGTGTGGGGGTGAAATCCCAGTTCCCAAGCTGCTATGGTCAGAAAGCAGCACACCCGGTTTGGGGCACTGGAAGCTGAATGGGGGCGAGTCCATTCTTGTCTGCTTGGACTGGCAGGAGCTCCCCTGGGCTCAGCGAGAGCAAAGCCTTCCCTGCTGCCCGGCTTTCGGCAAGGGGGTGGGTAATGGCGGCGGCAGCGGTAACAGGGATGCCTGAAAATGGGTGGATTCAATTTCCCCATGCAGAACAAGCGAGAGGCTTCAAGACCACATCAAAGCCGACCAAAACCATGGGCATCCTGACATACAGCTAGCCCTCCCCCAAATTCCAGGTCCTCCTAATGAATTCAACAAGCGCAATGGCTTCCTTTGTTTGTTTTCTCTCATAACATGGACTTGGGCCGGTGTGCTACCATAGCAACAACTCCCTTCCACCCGCTAAAAGCAGGAAGGGAAAAGGAGGGAGGCACGCAGGTTAGTGACACAAGTACCCATGTTCCTTCCCCTTTCCTGTGAAATTCTTTCCCCAGAGCAGGGGGCCATGGCTCCCACTGTCTCTTTCCACGCCACGTGAAGTCACATTATGTGCCTAGAAGGCCCAAATAAAACTGGTTATCTTTGTTTTACTTGTTTCCAATACAAACGAACAAACTCACCCTTTTTAGCAGATGTTTCCATCGACCTTGCTTTTGCTAATTCAGATATCATAGTTTCTAAAGGGAGAGAAGGGAAGGATTTATGAGGCAGGAATCCCTCTGTCCACTGCTGTTCAACATGAAGAGAAGTAAAGCATTTGAGTTCTTTATTTGAGATGGGGATTCAGGGAGGATGAATGTGTAAGCAGTCAGCAAGGGAAGGCACCTCATCAGTTATACAATCTGATACTATAGAACTAAATCTGGCATTTAGAAGGGCAACACTTTCATCTTTCAGGATTCTAGCCCTCATGGAAAAAATGCTACAGAGATAATAGGGAAATTGCTAAATAAGGAGAAACCTGTAATGCTGATGGACATTGTAACCTTCCAACTGCTGAGGTAAAAATTTCATCATGGTTTATTTTCTTGTAATTAAATATATTATTGAACCATGTAGCTGCTATGGGTAAAGCAACTGTTAGTCTGGCTGAAACAGCCAGGGAAGAACCTTAGAGAAGCTCAAGAACAGGAGGGCTGTGCTGCATGTACTGCAAGGGGCAACATGTGTGGGGTGCATGGAAACTACGAGTTGGCAGATGTTGCTTCAAGTGCTTTGCACAGTCCCATACAGTCCTTTTATGGCTCTTAACCCCTTGAGCAAAATCCATTTTGTGCTCCTCTCCATTCCTTCCAGCTCTCCTTTCCCCCCTAAATCTACTACTCCAAACTTTGATATTTTTTTAAATTTGCTCTTTGAATGTAATTTGAATTACATTCAAAAATCTGAGTGTATTTCAAGCACAGCTCACAATGCGCAGGTCTTTACAGAATGTGCACTGCACTTTTTTGTAAGTCTTCCAGAGACTTTTAGTATTGGCACGGCATATAAAAGTTTTAAATAACTAAAATAAAATAAATTGCCAAATCCTCCACCCCTTTTCGCAAACACAGTTGCCATAAGGTAACGCTTCAGTATTTTAAGTGGTTGTGAGCTCTCATTTCTCTTTTCGGTACCTCGACATTTCTCCAGGGCCTCCTTGATAACAATATTTTTCAGACTGAAGTGCCCAAGCTTCTTTTCCAGGTCAGTCGGAGAGGAAGAAACTTCTACCAATCGTGGCAGCTGTCCATCCTTACATCTACAAAAGAAATCACATTATTGTACTGCAGTCTGTGCATCTTGCATACAATCTCTTCATTAAGCCATTGCCTTAACAGTTGCTACCTGAAATCCCACCACGACCAACCTACCATGTTCCTAACCAATTGGGTAAGATAATGTGAGGCCACAGAATATTCACAAACACTCTTAAAGGCCCATGAAGTCTTGCCGCCAGCTGAAATAAGGAGCATTTGTTTGCCCTACGGAAAAGTTTGCTGCAACCGAGTTTGCACCCTGGGCCCAAGAGGTGAGGCAAGTGTGGCATTTCCAGGGCTGAGAGGAAGGCCACTCGGGGGCTTGAGCACCAAGGAACATCTCGGTCCAGGGCAAGGCTGCAGAGCCTCTTTCATCCCGAGGGCTGCCTCCAGGGGCAGAGAAGTTCTCAGAGCTAGCATTCCACTGGTGGGTGCGGACGAAGGCAAACAGGGCAGGTTAAAAAACAAACTTGTTTGAGCTCTTCCGCTAGTACATAAGCCTTACGGGAGACCTTTCAACTGTTCAGAAGGAAGAAAAAAAAAAAAAAATGCCCAAAACCAAAGAAACCACCAACTGATTGTTCAAGAGTTGAAGAATTAGGATAGGCAAAGGGTGCGGGGGGGTTGTCAGGGAACCCCCAGGCCTGGCTCTGGCCTCTCCGCTTGCAGCTCTGTGCATCCAGTTTAGCGACTTGGACTACATTGCAATTACGTATGTTAGCACGTCATACACCGGGGGAGGCATTTTGATGCACTTGTGGCCCCCCCATCGCCTCTCTTCCAGTGAATAACTAAGTGAAACCACTGTCCCAGGAAGGTTCTCTGTTTCTGGCACACACGCGCGCACACACACACACTGCCAGAGTTTGCTTTGAGAGGGAGGGAAGGGGGGAGGGAGAGGCCACTCTGGGATGTAGCACTGAAATTTCACTGCTGCATTTTTGGGGTGAAAACAGGGAAAGAACTTTTCCTCAGCAGGAGCTCCAGGGCCTCTCCCTCGCCACTGCTGGAGCATCTCTAGAGTAGTGCTGAGACCACATGATCTGGGCCTGTCCCTGCCCTTTGCTCTGTCCACAGCAGTAGCCTTGGTGTCCTCAGTCCTGCCAGCTGCCACAAAGAGTGATGAATTCTGCAGAACTACCTACCTGCTCAAAATGGTCCTGATGTCCTGCGGAAGGAGGAAGCGGACAGGAGGAAGAGAGAAAAAGAGCAGTCTTATATTTCTTATGCCATAGAGCACAACACATTATTTTTACTAGCATCTGGGTTAAATTCCATTGCATAGCTGTGGTCAAGCACTCCCAGATTCAGTTCTGTGGCCAAACAACAAGGGAATTCAAGATGACCTACTTGCAAGGTTGTAAAGCTGAACGAAAGAAGCATTAGGAACCAGGCCTGGGAGTATTTCTGTGCCTCTGCACCATGTAAGCCATGAACATTGATCCTGAAGACTGATGTTCCCACTTTCTAATTCAAGCTTCTAGTCCACATGACTATAAAGTTAAATGTTCTTCAAAAATATACAGTAACAGCACATTAGGACTGCAATCCTTTGCACATTTTTCTGGAAGTAAACTCTCACTGAGTACCATAAAATTCATCTCAAAGTAAAACTACAAAGGACCATCCATATCACGTCTTCCTGCATTTTTAATATGCTATACAATTCAAATTCACTAACAGCTTATAAGATTTGCATGGGGCAATTTCTCCAATACACAATCCTGATGGAGATCTTAAAAACGTAATTTTCACTTTACTTGCACAAAACAGCCTTAAGACAGCTTTTAGCAACAATAATAAAAATAACACTAAAAAGGTCAATCATCAAAACAATATTTATTTATTGGATTTATTTGAAAGCTGCCTGTTAGCACAGAATGCTCAATACACAAACTTAAGCAGTGACTTAAAGCGGACAACAAGGGGACCAAACATCTCTCTGGGTATGTCACTCCAGAATCTAGAATAGTCAAAAAGGTCTTCCCTTATTTCCACTCACCAACTATCTGTCAATGTGGGGACAAGAAGAGCCTTAGAAACTGGGTGGAATTTCTGGACAGATTTGTGAGACGTGATTCCTGAAGTCCTCTAGTCCTCAGGCTGTTTAGGGCAGACTTCCACAACCTGGTACCCACCTGATGACAATTCCCAGCTAGCTGGAGCTGATGAGTTGAAGTCAAAAATGCTGAAGGGCACCAGACTGGAGAAGCCTGGTTTAGGGTTCTAAATAAATATCGCCCTGAACTTCTGGCTATCGTTAAGAGATTGGGAACATCTCACCATCTTAAATGCTCTTTCCTTTGCACTTTTTCTTCCCAGAGTCAATGATAGTACAGTATTTAGTCTGTACCACCTTAATGATCCCCTTGGTTAGCTTCAGACTAAAGTTTGAAAACTCCTCACCATGGCAAAAAACTCTCATTTGGGGCCTGCCATGAGAGGTTTTAAAATATGTGCAGACTACACGCTGCACCACAGTTAACAATGGGAAGGGAAAGAGGAAATTCATATCCAAGAGGATGTGATTAAGAGCCATACTCCTGTGAGATGCTCCCACTGTACAAAAGATTTCTGTCCCAAGCTCCAGACTCCAAATCCTACATTAAAATATGTAAAGAATGCCAGTCATGACTCGTTTTATTTTCTTGCATCTCAGAGCAACATTTTATTATTAGGTGCATATAATGCAAATAATGATAATTTTTGAAAGCCAAAAATGTACATACATACATAGATGAAAAGAATTTTCTCTGATGCCAAAATGTTCAGCTCTGTCCTCAAAGCTCATAGATTCCATGAAGCCTCAAGTTTAATTCCTTAAACCCCACACTCAGCTGAAACGGTCAAAGCTCATACAACTTTGCTTACATTCAGTGTCACCTGCCCTCTCCACTTCCATCTCCCATGCTGTTGAAATTTAACTTATTAAGTACCTTGGAACCTTGTTAAATAACTATTTTTTTGCTCACATCATTTTCTAAAACATTTTACACAATGACAGCCATTTTATATGCATTTACATCCTAGAATTATTTCCTGGAAGACCAAACTGGGCTGCACAGGCTCTTTCCATTTAAAGCACTGCCCACAAAAGATTATTTCCCTTTGTAGTCTTAGAGATCTTACGCAGAATTAGGTGTGCCAGAGAGTTTGTTGCTTTCAGTCTAAGGCACTTCGTGCTCTGCAAAGGACTGGGCTTTTAGCTGCATCACTCATGAGATCCAGAAGCCACACAGAAGCTGTGCATGAGGAGAATAAGTACAGGGGACAGGAAAGGTACTGGTAAGGCAATGCGATGCTGAGCAACTCTTTCTCAAAGGCGCTGGGTCCTACATTTCTGGGTTAAGCACTGAGACACAGGAACATGGGGCTCTAAGACAGTCTCACCTGCAGAAATTCACTTGCGGGCTGCTGGCACTTCTCCTCCACCTCACTGATCAATGCATTGAGGCGATCAATCTCCTCTGTCAGTTTGGTAGCCACCCCGTCTCTCTTCTGTACAATCTCCTTGTCAAATTTCTTCAACATGATAATCAGGAATCGCTCGATTTTTTCCAGGAACTCATGGATTTGATTAAATTCTGCCTCCACCTTCTGCTTCTCTGTTTGTACATCATCCTGTGACGAACAGGGCAGGGCCAGCCAAGATGGCAGGGGGGGGAAACAACCAAAGACAGGGAAACTGAAATAGCTCTGATGCTATTACCGCAGATGCTTACACGGGGCTGGACGTCCACCCTGCCCATGGTACCCAGTGGCTGGAGATGCCACACACAACTGGGTGGTTTCCAGAGGGTGCGATGTGTCACAGATGCAGTTTTGAACATTGTATGTTGCTCCGTTTGGTGAGAGAAGGGGCAAGGGGCAAGGTATAGGGACACGCAGTAAATCTGTAAACCGTGGTGAATAATTTGTAAGATTCTGTGACATTTAATGAAAAGCTGCATCTAAATAATTTTAAATTAATTGTTAGTAATGTAATAAATACTTAGTAAATATAAAAACCACTTCAATATCTTAATATAAGTGGTATATAAATCTAGTAATTGTTTTTAAAATAGTCTCAGTCTCATGTAAAAATGCTATTATTGGGTCTTCCATCCAAGCGTTTGATTAAGGGTGCACTGCCTAGCTTTCACAAAGCTGTGCCATTAGGGACTGCCAGGCAATTTGCTATTCCACTGGAAAACATTTTTAATAGTTTTGGTGTTTGCAGTGGAGCAAATTGTCTGCCTCTATCAGGGTGTACAAACTTTTCAGTCCCAAAGTCCTCACTGGGTTTTGCTGGGGTGACAGAAGCCACATGCATGTACACCTATTCCAGGGTGGATAAAAATCAATAATTTTTTAAAACTGTTTTTTAATTCAAATCATTTTTTAAAAATTTAAATTGGATGTTTTTAAATAAAATGCTTTTTGAAGGAAAAAAATCTATCTAAAGATAGTTTTCTGTTTAAGATACATTATAGTCCAAAGGTTATTCATCATGAAATAAGAATTATTTTTAATTATGTGGCATGAGGTTATAAATTCATGCAATGTTTAAATTTTTTGGTAAAAGAATTCCATTAATCCATTCATGCTCTTTCAGAGGTTTCTGTAAGATTATTGGGCATTTTTTCTGTTTAGAAGATATTATCACAGATGCTTAGTTTTACAGTTCTCAGAACTTTGAATTTGTGTCTGCAGAGATCATGTGCCTCTTCTTCACAGCAAAAATGTTATAAAATAAACATACAGAGTTGAGAAAAAGACCTCAATCCCATTGTTCCTTTGCAAATCTATGTACACAGACTCAACCCCTTACCTCTTAAGCGCTACGTTTCAAAATATTCAATGTATAGGAGAGGATTGTTGGGAGTAGAATCAATCTGCACAAGAAGCTAAGTGTGAGAAGGGAGGGGTACGCAGTAGAAATGAAAGTGAAACCTTTTGAGCAGAATACTCCTTTGGATCTTTTTGTGTGCAGCCTGAGGTTTATCATATTATTCTTTCCCTGGAGGAGAAAACCTATAATGGCAGCAGGCTGTGAAAGAGACCCAGTTTGGTAATATTTTAATGAATTTTTTCTCACTACCAGAAAGGCAGGCTTGTGTACAAATTATGTAGAAAACTATGATTTAAATCTAACCTTATTTATTTATTTATTAAAACATTTTTATGCCGCCCCATTCGCCGAAGCCTCGCCGAATTACTGACTAGTGATTTAAATCAAATCCACCCAGATGTATACACACATGCATACATATGCACATGCAGCTCACACACAGCATCCCAACCTAATCACAAAAAAGAGGGAAAATATACTGCAGAAAGAGCTCTATGGTTCCTGCCGAAGAAGAAACAAGCAGGAACCATTAAGCACATTAAGCGCATCTAAAGGACATTCTAGGAGCAAGACTTCTATAGCAGGAACCTGCCCTCCCCACCATGCACTTCTGTGGAGCAACAGCAGGTGTTGAGGGTGCCCAGACTTTTTGCAGCTCTGGTCTATATCCATGCTGTAAGAAACTGACACACACATCCTAGACATGAAGAAAGATTAAGCCACATCAGATTGGAAACATCCCCATCTGGCTGTACCATCTTTCCTCCAAAGACCTTAGAAACACAGAAACAGAGTGAGTCAGAAGGGGTCTCCCAGGCCATCTAGTCTGACCCCCGGCTCCAGCTGGTTCCATACATGACATGCCTACTATGGGCATGTCCAGCCAAAGCCTGAAGTGTTGCACACAGTTCTCTCCATCCCCTTTCAATCTTTACACAAAGCCTGCAAGGTATGTGAGCTTAAATCAGCCTTCTCCAGCCTGGCGCTCCAACCTTCCCCTCCAGGAGTGTTAGCCTGCAGTTTCCATAATCCCTAGCTAGTATGACCTAGGGATGATGAGAGTTAAAATCTAACCTCTCTGGGAGATGGCAGGAGTCTACATATCCTGCCAACTGGTAGATCTCAATCGATTTAAGGTACTAAAATACCCTCCTTTCAACAGCAGAAAAAGCATCCTTTACCTCTCAGCCATTCCCTGTTAGAAGAGACAAGCTCCTACCTGATCAGCCTGACTTCTGCACTCCAAGTCTTCTTTGGATTCCTTCAGCTTCTCTCTCCTTTCCTTTAGAGCTTTCACATGTGTGGCAACTTGTTTCTGAACACAGACAAACAAAACATTCAAGAGGTAATTAGTTATCTTTCCTTACCCCCACCCCAGATAAATTGCAAGAAGCACTTTCTATCTTCAGTTCGGTTCAGTTGCGGTGCATTAAACACATTGCTGGGTTCTGAATTCTTTAATGTGCGTGGTTTGTCTTGTGCACCAGCTGGTGGGTTGCAGGGGTCAAGCAAAAACTAAAAGTAAATCCCCACAAACCTGAAACCTGCCCACCCCAGCTCGGTGGCAGCTTGCTATTATTCATAAACAAAGAATGAATAATAGCAAAAAACAAGAATGCCCCAATCTAGCTAGCAGTTAATTAAAAGCATCAACATGAATCAGTAGTACCCAACCATAAAACAATGCAAGGCTCAGAAACTGAAGGAAACAACCCCAAAGCCCTCACGACCAAAGCCTCAGGCAAAGAGGGTGCTTTTCGCCTGGCACCTAAAATTTCAGCACGAAATCAGCACTGGGGCCTTGATGAAATAAAGCTACTGTAAACTGCTCAGAGAGCTCTGGCTATTGGAGCAGTGCAGAGATGAAATAAATAAATGCACACAGAACCATCACTCATCTATCCAGAGTTGCCACTGGCTTGGTAAATGTGAGGCAGCTCTTTCAGCAGGAAGGCTGAATTCAGTATTGGAAAAGGTCCCGTTAGCAATGGGCAGGCCCAAAGACAAAAGGGGTGATGTCAAAAATAGCCCCCCCCCCACAGCATATTGTGGCTTACGGCTCTTGCTTGCCAGTAACTAAGCTTAGGGAGAAGCATTTCGGCCTTTTAGAGTGGATTGGGGTGGGCAGCACCAAAGCCAGGAAGTTGTCAAAGGATGAGTGGTTGAGGAAGAGGCTCTGCGAAACTTCACTGCAAGAATCATCGCCACCAACTGTACCTGCTGTTTCAGGTTGTCAGCGGTTGTGCGCCCCCACGGCCAACTGGTTGTGGTGACAAGCGGCACCCTTTGCATCAGCCCGCCTGCGAGTAAGCTGAATCAACAGGCGCCCTCCCCTTCTTAGCACTGCTGCCAAGCAGTGGCCGTGGGCGAGGGGAACTCCGTGTTCCTGCAGTGTCCCCCGAGATACCTGCAGAAGGACCACGGGGGGGGGGGCGGGCGCAGGTCTCCTGCTGTGCTGCTCTTCTGAGGCACTTCACAAGCCCGTGGGCAAACAGGCCACACTGCATCCTATGTCATGCAAACCCACCCATGGAAGAGAGATTGGAGGCATGCTAAGTTCCTGTTTATTGCACAGATCCGCCTTGGCCAACGTGGTTCCCCCCGACTACAACTCCCATCAACACGAGTCCGCTTGCATAGTGGTGGGGATGTCGTCCAAAGCCTCAAGGGCAGATGACTAAGCACAGGCTTACCGCCCCGCTTCCAGAAAGCAAGCGGGTCGGCTTCGCAGCGATCCGCCCCGGGAGAGCCGCGGATGACTGCCGGGCGCGGCCCCCAGGCGAACAGCCCCGGGGGACGCGCGTACCTTGTAATCCTGAGCCGCCTCCTCGATGGGCAGCATGGGGTGCGCTTTGTGCGCTCGGGATTCCCTGCAGATGACGCAGACGGGCGTCTCGTCCTCCTCGCAGAAGAGCTTCAGCGGCTCCTGGTGCTTCTCGCACAGCCTCTGGCCCGCCAGCGAGGTGGCCGCCTCCAGCCTCAGCCGCTTAGCCACTTCCACCACATTGCCCAGCTCCCGGTTGGGCCTGAAGCTCCTCTTCCGAGACCACCGCCTGCACTGGGGGCAGGAGGTGTTCTCGTCGTCCGATCGCCCCCAGCACTGCGTGATGCACGACTGGCAGAAGTTGTGGCCGCAGTCGATGGACACCGGCTCTTTGAAGTAGCTCAGGCAGATGGAGCAGGTGATCTCCCGCTGCAGAGTTTCCAAGGGGCTCTCGGTGGCCATGTCGGGGAGGAGAGTGCTGGTGTGTCGCGGCCGCCTCGCACCGCGTGGTTTCCTGCGTGAGCCCGATTGGCTGCATGGGGCAAAGAGGCTGGATGAGTCCCTACCAAAACACTGAGCCGACCAGGGGGGGGGGGGGGGGGGTGGAACCGAGGGCCACGACGGGCATCGGTGCCGGCTTCGCAGCAGATTGGTCTGCTTGGCTGGCCCCCAATTCTGTAGCAACTGCAAAACCAAAACGACTTTCTTTCTTCGTACCCGCTCCCCAGTTGTACTGCTGAAAACTCGATCTTATTTTGCATGGAAGAACTGCGAGCTCAGTTCTTTCCGGGCACTCAAAACAGATTCCTGGCCTTAGAAAGCTTTAATGCTAAGTATGTGCAGCCTTTTGCTCCTTGCACATCTCAGGATTCCAGTGAAACCGCAAGCCTGCAATTTTCCCAAGATGCCTCATGATAGATAACACAATTTCACAAAACAGTTCATAAAATTGCACACTAATTTGAAACATTTTTAAAAGAAAGAGCCAGTTAAACCCAATCCAAAACTGTTTTTAAATTGGCAGATTTGTCTACCTACCTTAGGAAATAATCTAATGCATATTTAGAATAAAGCTAGGTGTTGGAAAGCTTTTCTGTCTAAACATGCACCAGATTATACCTTTACCAAGTTTATTCAGAAATAAATCAATGAGGTTCTGTTTATTGGTTGCCCTGGTTTATGTCCTGCCTTTCTATTAAAAATATGGCACTCAAGGCAACTTACTAAGTGTACATCTTATTGCAGAGGTGCTGTGAGAACACAAAAGTTTCAGGGTTTGGTCACAAACCTGCCAATCATAAATGGAAATTGGCTTGTTAAAAATACAGCAAGTAAAAATCTTATATTGTCCTTGGATAACAAACAGAATATATACTTAGACACCTATATTTAGAATTTGGTGTAATGGCTGAATATATTGGAAGGTGGTATATATCTGTTTAGTAAACAGAATGTAAAACTTGCTCGCGGGGACTGTTTTGCTTCATGCAAAGAAGTCTCTGAACCAGAGCTCTAACCAGAGTTGGGCTGCAGGTAAAACCATGAGCTGCTCAGCCTAAGACTCTTCATTCTCTCCGTCCTGTGATGGAATTTAGAGGTTGCAGGGAGGGAAGCAGCTGAATGGGCCAAGACTGGTCCAGTTGCTGTCTGCTGCTGCAGCTGAAGGGCTCTGGAATGGCTTTGCCGCATTTGCCGTCTGAATGGCAAAGCTTCCCTTCTTTTTCCCCTGCCATATTTTTTTCCAGACATGCAAAGGTCAGTGGGGGATTCCTAGCCTCTGTGCTTACTCCACCAGGGCCTTACCTTGTACCCTGAAGGCCCTGCTGTTAGCATGTGTCTTTCACTGCCCTTCTTGGCTTGTCCTGGTTCTTTCTCTTTGACTGGTGGTCAAAGAAATCTTCCAACCGCAGATGAGCTGGTGCCTGGAGGACAGTCTTGGTTCTGCCCAGGCATCCTGCCTAAGGAGCTAGGTGAGTGCTAAGCTGTAAGGGCTCATCTTCCTTTCCTTTGTGTATTGTGCTTCTAAACCCTGGCAAGAGCATAAAAGCATTTGAATTCCTTTCCAGGAGGAAGCCTGACTTGATAGTGCAGCTGATGAACGGAGTACTGTAGGGTTACCTTGTCTGCTGCAAGGGAGAATGCTAATAATGTGCCCCTATCATAGAGTCTGGGTTCAGACAACACAATAACCCAATATGGGTTGAGTGTGGGTTGTCATTGAAACATGAGTTGTTAATAAACCGTGGCTATTAAGTTGTCTGAACCAACTTACAAACCATGGTGAACAGCCCACAGATCACAACACAACTATGGGTTCCCTTCATGTTGGTTAGTGTGGATGGGTTCGGATAACTCATGTTCCAGCAACAACTCATGACTCAATAAGAAGCCACACTCAACCCATAGCCAGTCAATGAGTGTGAATTATGTTGTCCATTGGCCTAAAAGTATGGGTGGCATGGGGGCTCATTTGCCAACACAGCCTTTGCTTGCCGTGTCTCCAAGGATACTGTGACTGGGCCTGCCATTTTGGTATTTTCTGTGCTGAGTATTTTTTTACTTCCCAGCTGAGCACCTGTTGTGTAAGAGAGGCTGTGTCAGTTCAGCTCCTCTGCCACTGGTATAATTTCACAATGGAGTCACTGTTAGTGACCCTTTCCTGCAAGATCATCATCCCTTGCAGAATAATTAAAAACAGACTTTCATTAAACAGGTCACATTTTATTAATGCTCAAAGTGCTTTATAATGTTATTAGTCTCACAACAATCCTGTCTAAGACTTCAGTGTTATTCTCATCTTATATTGACACAGGTAATTTAAATCTGCTCCTGAAAAACAAAGTTTAGGATGTGCTTTGCAGCAGAAAGGGGGAACCTTCTGATTGGTTGCTCAAAGTTTGTTACACGATGCTTGACCATCAATGAAGTCCAGAATGCTGAAGTGCCTCTTTGCTGCTATTTGAATTTGGTCTGAGTTATTACTTTTTCCCCACCTTTCTGTCCAAGAAGATACAACATATATTACACCATTAAAATACAATGTTCAAACATAAATAACATTCACCATTTAAAACATTAAGAAAGTGACAGGTGTAAAAACTAACTCATTTCCATCTTGGCTACTTTTGGTGATGATTTGGCCCTGCCTTAGTTAGCAAAACCCAATGACTTTTCAGTGCTGACTTCTTGACAAGAGTGGAGTTGAGTGACTTGACAAGAGCTCCCATCACACATGAACCGCTGTGTGTCTGAAGCCAACTGTTCAAAGCTCTGCTGTAGCCAGAGGCCTACTTTAGCACCTTCATCCATGTCTATGTTGCATGCAAAAACCTGCACCAGTGTGACCAACATTAACTAAATCTGGAGTAAGCTACCACCACCATTTTGGGCTTGTACTTTCAGCCACCAGACCCCAAACTTCATTCACCAGCATGCATGGAAGGGTGAGTATGATCCTCACTTTGGCCCCTTTGGATTTCAAGTACAATTTAGTGGGGATTAAAGGGGTAACTAATCTGCCTTAAGAGAACTTGGATAGGTAACCTTCAGCTATCCAGTGTTAGCTGGGCAAGCAACACCTTGAAGAAAGGGAAAACTCTCTCACCGGAGAAGGAAGCTGATGGGAAGACAAAGACGGAATCCTTTGTTTCGGCATTTAGAAACTCCACCTGCCCTCTTTCATAGTCCAGAAATACCCGGATCTTTTTGGGAGTGCAGGAGATGGGCAGAGGGGTCACAGGAGATGTGAGAGCCTGGTACTGACCAAAATCTCCTTGGAGGGCCCAAATCCCTTCCTCCGGGGTCAGTTTGAGATCCACTTTCCTCCTCACAGAGCCTCTGGCCACCCCTATAGCCCAGATGCCTCCATCCTCCACACTGACATCCCAGAAATGCCTCCCAGAAGCATATCCTTCGCAGCCCAGCACGCAGCACGAGGACTTAAAGCGCTTCGGGTTATGCAGCACATCAGTCCGGGTGACGTCCCACCTGGCACATTTCCGATCCTCGGAGATTATGACTTGCGGGTTTGCCGTTTCAGCATCCAGGTTAACGTTGACTGCAGAGAGAAAGAGAGGAGGAAGGAAAGGGGACTTCTGTCATCAAGGACTCCCTCAAGGGCCTAGTCCAGCCAAGGCACCTCATGTCAGACTTAAGGATAATTGGAGGAAATGAGACAACATGTGTGAAGGATACCATTTATTGAATCAAACTTAGCACACGAATGTAGATGATCAGTACAAAAGCAAAGCAAAGCTTCCACACCCCGTTCCAGTTGCAGGCTTCCTCATTCAACAGAAGCTGCCCCGGGGCTCCAAGTTGCCTGTGCATCTGGGCATGCCTGGTCCCAGCCAGAAAGCCAAGGGACAAATGAGCCCATAACAGGTTCTGTAGGTGCCTCCCTCCATTCTAGAAGTTGTCAGCAGTGGAAAGGAGGGTGGGTGGGAAAAGTCCCAGCAAGATGTGCACAGATCCCTATCTCAAGGACAGTGAGGGGTTCATAGCGGCCGGTAGCTGGTGGTGTCCTACTTCACGGAGGCTCCTCGCGACCCTGCAGGTATCTCACAGCTATTAAGGTTAACATACACCTGTTTCTTTTATGGCCACACTAAAGGCCTGTGATCAACAATGTGGGCGTTTCACAGTAGCTCCTCTCAGCAGGTCTTCCAGGTATCGATGCCAATACAATGACTTGATATTTTTGGTCAGTATTCTAATTCAGATGAGAGAATCTTGGGCATTTGTGGTATTGGGCATACAGTCAAAGCTGTATGATGGTTTCTAAGTGTAGCTTAAAGAGGAGAAGAAAAGTCAAACCTAAATGCTTCAAGCTTGATCTACCACCTTTTCAGCCAGAATGGTTAGTTTATATCTTTCTGTAAGTGTTTTCTTATAGAACTACACCTGCATGAATCAAGGTTTTCTTAAATGTTTACACTAGTTACTTACCCCATTCTGTTCCCAATTGTAATGGCAGAGAATCTAAAAGTGTTTGGGGTGGGGAGAGGGGGAAAGAAGAGAAGCATAATTTAAAAACAATATTGTTTTCAGAACTTGAATGCACTTACGAGCTACAGCTTCTGACTACAGCTTCTGACTGCTTACTACAGGGGGCACTGCTTACCTAATTAATCCCACGTGTAAGTGCAGCAAAGTATAGCTACATGAAAGAAGAAAGGTATATAACTGCAGTTGTTTCCTGCCCTGCCCCCTACGCATCTGAGATGAATGCTCAGATGTTTCCTTATTGGGTTCAAAGGCTGAACTTTGGCTCAAAGTCATCTTGCTGCTTTTGTCATTTACGAGCCTGAACAGAAACACTGCATACTGCAACATTTTATTGCAGGCTCTGTTTCTAATGTCCAAAAGAAATCTTGAGTACCTCTGAGGTTCTTCAGGATCTCTGTGAGTAGAACAGTTTTCTCAGAGAATTCACGTAGCCTCTTTTCCACCTTCTGTGGCATCTCCTCTGGAGGCTGAAACGGCTGCTTATCAAACCTAAAAACAAACAATCATGCCCATTATCCACTGTTTTGTTGGTATCTGGTCGTCCTTATGACTAGTACTCCTCATAAAGCTTGCATGACCTCGGAGGGAGGCATAATCAAGCCAGGGCCAATCTGGAAGCCCTGGGGCATGTGAAGTAGTACGAAGGTACTTGTATTATTCCATAAGTATTCCCTGACTACAGAGGGCCCTTTGCTGCTGATTAGTCTTTCGCTCAATTGGTCAATTATTACCCCTTAATTGGTAGAGAAAGACCAAAAAGTGACCACTGCAACCACTTTTTTCAGGCACAGAGTTGGTATAATATGGATAGCACAACCTGTCACATACACCTGTGTGTCTTCTAATCACACTGAATTTCCAGACGTTTTGAAGTGCTGCTAATCCTGAGAGCACTGATGACAAGAGATGACCAGGCAGAGCTTAGTCCATGTGACCTCTCACATCACTAACTTATTAAAGCTAAGTTTGGAAGCCTGTGTCGTAAGAAAAACAACAGGGCAATCCAGAGACTGACTGCATTAAGGGGAAAAGGAAGTTAAACTGATGCTATGCACTAATTTTGCTCAAGTTTCCTTTTAACTCTCTGAGATGGAGCCAGGCTTAGTTGTGCTCAGAGCAGACCCACTGAAATTCACGGCTGCTGAATTAATCATAAAGTACTTTCAAGTCCTACATGAATTAAAGGTAAAGGTAAATGTTTCCCCTTGACATTAAGTCCAGTCTAGGGGGCGGTGCTCATCTCTGTTTCCTAGCCGAGGGAGCCAGCGCTTGTCTGCAGACAGTCTCCGTGCTCAAGTGGCCTGCATGACTAAACTCCGAAGTGCCCGGAACCCTGTTACCTGCCCACCGAAGTGGTACCTTTTCATCTACTTGCATTTGCATGCTTTCGAACTGCAAGTGTGGCAGGAGCTGGGACGGAGCAACGGGAACTCACCCCGTTGTGCAGATTCGAGCCAGCGACCTTCCGATCAACCAGCCCAGCAGCACAGCGGTTTAAACAAATGTCCTTTCTCTGGGTAGAACAGGGGCCCCTAAATTTTGGTTGGATTTGGCATCCAGGCGTGGTTCTAGGCACAGTGAGGCTTGGCCTTCTCCCTTGCTGCCCCACCAAGGCAAAAGAAGCTGATTCCTTTTGAATCTAGTATCTGTTTTAACAAGGAAGCAACAGAATTCTTTGATATCTAAGTTATTATTTAGTGCAACTTTTGTGAAAGCATTATGACCATCCTGTGAAACACTATTACACTAAGACTCCTAAGCATCTACTTTTAAGCCTTTGCTTATTATTTTCTATTTTATGATTTACTTGTAGTATTTACATACTGCTAAGGATAATAACACTCTTAAGCAGTTTACATTTAAATACTGAAATCACATTTAAAATAGAATATTAAGGACAATTTTGACAGTTTTAAAATCTTTGCATGCCCAGAAAAACATCTTCTGTTTATTTTATTTATTTATTTAAACAGTTTTATCTAAACAATTTCTATGCCACCCCATTCACAAAAAGCCTCGGGGTGGCTTAATTTTGCAGCAGTTAAAAGTACAGAACTGCCCATTAAAAACTGACAGCAGTGCTGTACATGTTTTAAGGCAAGCCCGCTACATTAGGGTCAAGCAGGGCACTTTTCAGAGAAGACAAGGATTCACGTTGTAGGTATCAGGGCCACATACCTGCCTAAGGTGCCTCTGATGTCCTAAAGAGAGAGGAAGAAAAGAAAAGTGAAATGTGGAGGTGTAGGATACTTAATTCCCTGCCCTTTCCGGTCTCCATGCCACCCCCCCCGCCCGCCCGAAATTGCATTCCTAGCCTTGGAAAGCAGCCGGTCTGGTTCTTCCCTTCTGGCCTGGGATCTGGGAATCTGAACTATTCCATGGCCCTGCAGACACGACCAGGGAGCATCTGATTGGTCCCTAAATGTCTTGAATTACTGGGTATGTTCTAATTGTTTTGGGCAGAGGAAAACTTTGGGGGTATTTTAAAACAGCACGTGTGTCATGCTGTCTCCACACAATAAGATTACCTCAAGCTGGCCATCACATGTCTCCTTTAAAAATAATAATTTTTATTTTTATTATTTTTATTTATTTAAAGTTTTTCTATGCTGTCCCATTACTAAGTCTCTGGACAGAACAGTTGTGATGTACAAAGCAGCTAAAATAGACAAAGCAAGCTATAATAGAGGTATAAATACAATAAAAGTGCCAAGGGGATTCTATACAGATCCAACCAGTACAATCAGCCCCCTCCATTACATGCCTCTTATACGTAGCTGCTGCAGCTTTGGTTACATGAACGTAGGAAGACTCCAATCAGGAAAAGCCGCCAGATCAAGAACCTGGGAGGACTCATGCTGCTTTCAGAGGTGCACAAAAGCAGAAGTGTCACAAGCTGCACCTTGACCTATCACAAGTCTGCTGTGGTGGGATAAGTTACACGAACAGCATTCTTGTTCTGTGTTGCTCTCAAAGCAAAGGTGCAGAACCTCGCTCGGCCTGGGGCCGCATGCCGTTTCAGGGCAGCTCCCAGGGGCCCACATTCTGGTGATGGGTGGGGACAAAGGAAAGGGGGCAGGCCTAAACGAAGAAAAATGCCAGCATGGTATAGTTTTAAAGATCTTACAGTCCATAACAGAACCTGAGGAAGGGCATTTCACACTTTAAGGGGGAAAACTGAATAAAATTCAGGAAATTACCAAAGGATAGATGGCTCCGGGCCTGAAATTTTGCATGTGTGTCTCAGATACAAGAGTCCTCTTCAGCATCTGGGCCTGCAGCCAGAGGCAGCTGAGGACAGGAGCCAGTGAGCGCCATAGATGCCCAGGCAAAGCCCCAGTCTAAACAGGATGACCTTCCTGCTGCTTACAGCCTAAGGCCAGCCAGTGTGGCAGAATCACGACGCCTGGGGTCCCCTTCCCCAGCATGTGATGTGTTAGCCTACAGTTCCCAAGCAGCATGACCACTAAGAATGCTGTGGATGATAGGAGCTGCAGTTGTGGCCTGTGGAGGGGGAGGAGGGGGCAGCAGGGGGAGGGAAAGCGACAGTGCCGCTGCCATGGCGACCATTCTCTGAATTGTGGGCAGCCAACCAGCATCGTCGCCGCTGTGGAGGGAGAGGGCAGTGGCAGGGACGGGCTGGCACCAGGCAGGCGTCTCTGGGGAGGGCATTCCAAGGACGGGCTGCCATCGCTGAAAAGGCCCTCAGCCTGCCATTTATGCAATGCACGTGGCACATTCCTTTTTCAAGAGTCCACCTGGTCTCACCTGCAGAAACTCACGGTGAGACAGTTTGCACTTTTCTTCTCCCGCGCTGATCAGGGCGCTGTAGAAGATGATCTCCTCACCGAATATTGTCTTGTGCTTCTTCTGGTGCCGGACGATCTCTCTCTCCAGTTCATTCAGCTGGGCCAGCAGGAGGCTCTCCTGCTCCTCCAGAAAGTGATGAGCTTGCTTAAATTCAGACACAGTCTTCTGCCTCTCAGCCTCTGTCCGCCTCTGTCGTGAAGAGATGGAACAGCAGAGAGATGGGCCAGAGCACCGGGACCCCCAACAGGAGCTCAGGTTATGGGATGAAAGTGCTCAAAGGTGGGGAACTGAACCTGAACTATTGGCAGTATTTTGGGAAGACCAAAATATCCAAAGGACCAATTTCAAGATTGGGCAGCACCATTCAAGGTGGATCAATGGCCCGGTTTACACAGAGCCAGCAGAACTTGCTATTTTACACCGCTCAACCTCTTCCTTTTAGCACCTCCAGCGAGTGGACCCAGCTAAACAACCCAGGGACTCGCCAATCTTCAGTGTGACGTCTGAACCCAGAAATCTGGCGTGTTTCTCCTGAAACAAGCCAGAGAAATAACTCTGAAATACACATTCAGACTTCATGTTCACTGAGCATCCCTGGTTGTCTGGATGCTCCTGCTGGCAGGGTGAACATCTCAGCAGTACTGGCACGCTGGCTCGTTCACAACAATCCCAATTATTGTTATGAGTGAACGGAACCGCTGACATCTGACCTAATACTGGAATTCATCATGTGATCCTGTGGGGTTTTTCTTCGAACGAATTTCTACACATTCTTATATCTTGACATGTTTAATGCAATCTGTAATTAAATTCAAATTGTGTAATTCAGTCATGTATTTTACCTCTCGGTGTATGCAAAGTTTCTTTTTGATAAACTAAAATGCAATGCAGGGAAAACAAAAGTAACAAAAAGCTAGAAAGTAGAAGCACACGAAACATCACATACTACAGCATGAGACAAAAACTTAAAATTGCAGAGGTTTCTCAGCAGAAGATACATCTTTTCCTTGCACTGAGCACACTTCTGATCACATTACAGCATTTATTTTTTTGCTTTTACTAAAAAAACCCAAAAAAACATTATACGGTTATGCTATTGGAGACTATTGGAAGAGGGAGCGCCTTTGTTTAAACATGCTTGGCATACAGATGCATGTTTCGCCTTCTGAGGGAGTCTTATCAGTGAGGACCTGACCATTTCAGAATTGGAATGTAAGTTTGGCTCTCACCATCTCCCTCTCTCCAATGCAGTGAATGACTCCCATTTACTATTATGAGAGAAAAGGTGTACTTTCAAATAGCACTGGATCCAAGTATGTTCCCTGTCTCTGGCAACTCCGACCACTATCAACAGGTCCTGCCTCTTATCACAGTAGCCTCCGTTCTCTTTATCCTGGGCTCTGTTCCTGTGTTTGTTTATTTATTTATTTATTTATTTATTTATTATTTATTAAAACATTTCTATGCCGCCCCATTTGCCGAAGCCTCGGGGCGGCTCACAACATAAATTAAAAGACAAAAGATAACAATATAAAATAAAGTGTTGCAAGTGTGATGCAGTCAGATCCCGTTTCTGAGCATTCTGGAAAGTGTTTGTAAGAGGGACCAGCACATCGGTGCCCTCCACAGATTGTCACACAGGATCCTAGTCATATTCCGGCAACATTTTCTGTTTAGTCACGTGTCCCGCAGCAGCCTTCCCCCAGCCTATGGCTTCTGATTGCGCTGTAACGCATTTCCCAACGCTGCACCCAGCTATCCTAGGAGGGCAAAGGGGTGGGGAAGGGTGGACTGAAACACAGAGTCAAGCTTACTTGCTTTCAGGCTGGACTTGTCCAAAGCCCATTCGCATAATTTAATGGGAACAGGCAGGGCAGAGACAGCACTGGGATGGCAAGGTACCATGTTTGAGCTGGGTTTCGCAGAACACCTCTCCAGGAGGACTCTAGGGGTAGATCCAATATTAGACTAACTAAAGTCCCAATCCTTTCAATAGGTCTTCTCTAAGAAGGCCTAACATTGGATACAATTATCCTCTATCTGAGGTCTCGTAATTCATCTGGTTTCTTGTGTGCACCATCGCCACCAACCAGATGCTCAGGAAACGATCATATATGCTGCATGTGGGGACCTGGGATGTACATGTGCCCACATCCCTTGCTCAGTCACACCGTCGGATTCTATACAAACCAGATATTCCTGATGTTTAAGTTCTCCAGCCTGTTTTAATTCCTGGAGCTTTTCTGTCTCTTTCTTCAAGCTCTGCAGACGGCTCTGGGCTTCTTTCTAAGCAAAGAGAAACTAATTTTGAAATATGCTTATGATCATAAACTGTTCCATCCTGTCTACCCCCATAACAGACTGCATCTAATTTAGCAAGAAGAAGCATAAAAATATAATTTTTGGACATGCACTTGGTGGGCATGTCATGAGCGGAGCCGGCTGGAGCCGGGGGTCAAGACTAGGTGGCCTAGGAGGCCCCTTCTGACTCACTCTGTTTCTATGTTTCTATAATGCTCCAATCATAGCAATAAAATCCTCTCCATCTCTGAGCATTTCCAGCATTCTATTTCTTCAACATGTAATTCCTAAAGTACCCGAGAAAGGGAACAAAAGTCAACCAACAAGATTCTTTGGGAAAGAAAGATGCTTTTGTTAGAAAGCTAGTTTAAAGTTCTTGAATCTGGCTGCACAAGTTGTTGTTTCTAGTGGCACCTTTTCCACTCACAATGATCTGAAGGAGGATTTCCTTGTGTAATCCCTCTGCCACATTCACAGAATTTTATTGGGGGTGGGTTCAGTCCAGCTGGCAGGGCAATGCTGGAAATTATGAAGTCCTACATGGCTTGGGACCACAATAACTGATGAAAGTCAGAAGAGGTGTTCCATCTACTCAGACACTACAATCACATTCTGGGGGCTTCCTCTGAAGGGAACCTGGGTGGTGGGAACTAGGAGAAGGGCCTTTTCAGTGATGGTCCCTCAGTTAAGGGACAGTCTCCGCACTGAAGCCCTCCTGGAGCCAACTTCACTATCTTCCACTGCAGGGCATTCAAGTAGTTTACTGGGACTTGCTATTTGTTAAACAGTTAAGATTCTTTAAATTGGGTTTTAAATTTTGCATTGTAAACTTTTTATGAGGTTTTAGTATGTTTTAATATGTTGTATCTTTTAGTGTTATTTTAAATGTGCTGTTGTGAACTGCCCAGAGAGCTTAAGCTATTGGGCAGTATAGAAATTAATAGATAATTATAGACCTTTTTTTCTGCCTGCACATGCATAGCACTGCATCCTAAGCAAAAAGGGCAGGATAACTGTATGTCGTCTTTCAATTAGTAGTATGTACTAAGAGACCTCCAATTTTATCCTGAGATATCCTATAATATGTGCAGATTGCACTATGCAAAGGAGATGTGCAGCCTCTTGGCACAAGTCCGCAGCCACTATCATCAGGTGTCGCTCAGTTCTTCATCCCAAGTGCCATTTCCCCAAGATGTTGCCTCCTCCTTTGCCGGCTCCCTCCCTCTCTCCTTCCCTTCCACTCCCTCCTCAAAATGCATTTTTCCACAAGCAGCTGAGTGGTGCACTTGCTCACTCTGCCGTCCAAGTACTAAACCGCTTATGGACAACCTCAAGACCCCTGCTGCTCTCCCACTGGAGAAATAAACAACAATAAACCAGGCTTAGACTGGACGCCTCTTCAAACAGAGGTCTGTCTTCTGCTTCTCTCCAAAATAGAGGAGTGATCTCTGTAAAGTAAGGCACATGGCCACCCTACCTATTCCTTCCCTGTTTACGCTGCCTTCACGTCTTTCTACTTTGTCACTGTTTCTCCCTCTCGGAAATTTAGATTGTAGACTCCTTGGAGCAGGGACCTATCATTTGTATCATCCAAAGCACCATGTGTATTTTTCACCTCTCATGTAAAGAATAAACTTAGACCCACTTCATGGTGCAGCCATCGTAGCCTAGTCCTCTCTAGGTGTGTTTACCTGCAACAGCTGCTGGAGGGATTGTGGGAACTGCAATCCCACACATCTGGAAGGCACCAGACTGGGAAAAGTTCTTCCTGACAGCAGGGCCCCACAGAACGCAGGAGAACTCATTTCCGGATCTGGCTCCTCTCATGCACAGAGGAAAGCATGCCTTACAGGGCTCCATCCAAATGCTTCCCTGTACTAATCCCCCCAGTCTGTCTGTTGTTGTTGACTGGGAGGGATGGCAGATAGAGTGAAAGGGACAGTGACAAGTCCAGTCTCCCCCAGCACCGCTAGAATATCTAAAAGAACATGGCCAGGCACCTTGAAGGCACTAAACTGTTATTAATACTCACTGGCGGCTCAGTGAGTCCCCCCCCCCCCCCGCACCCGCTTGTTTCAGTCTTAAGTTAATGAAGAAATCACCTGGAGAACACATGATCTGGTCGCTCCTGTTTGAATTTCCAGGCCCACACTTCCCACCCATCAGAGAAAAGCCTTTCCCTTTGAGGAGCTGGCAGAGTCAAGAGGAAATTCCTCCATATCGCAGAGTCCCCGACATTACCAAAAGTTGCTTTGGTGAGTTATTCTTAGGACCTTGCTAAGGAAGTTGCAGTTGGATTATTCTGTTTCGTCTTGTTTTAAAAGCAATCAGCCGCAGCTGAACTTTAGTTCTCGAATAGGTCCACTCCACTGGAAACTAGCCTAGATTTAACTTTTTGCCAACCCTAAAGCTGCAATTTAGTCACACCTAAACCATTTGGCACACATGCTAAACTGGCTTTTAAGGAGGTCTAGAAAAGCTTCTTAATAAAGATGTTTATAAATAAAAAATCCATTAGCCTGGATTTCCAAATGCCCGTGTTAAGAGTTATTCATCCCATGAACGAGTGGTAATACATCCACCTCGGAAACAGAGGACCAATGTGCCTTGGGGTCAGGGCTGGAGATGCATGAGGCTTCCCTTTTGTCACAAGGACCTGACCGTGTATGAGCTCACACAACCGGGTGCCACAGTTCACATTTGTCCCTGTTTCAAGGGTAGGCAGCTTGTGGCCTCCCACATGTTTTGGCCTACATTCCCCTCAGCACTTTACTATGCCAGCTACGGAGTATGTTTGAATTGCTAGAGTAGACTCACGGAAACATGTCAGCCAGGTTGAAAACAATGAGGTTCCATCTCCAAGGTGAGAGCTTAGAGCAGGTCCATCATAACCAGTAAGACATTTATTTATTATTTATTTATTTAGAAAATTTCTATGCCGCCCCATTCGCCGAAGCCTCGGGGCGGCTCACAAACATAAATAACTTCAATTAAAATAATATAAATTAACAGTATAAATTAAACTCACATGGGTGACTTTGTCACATGGGTGACTTTGTCTCATTAATTTCAATGGGATGTCCACATCCAGATCTAAGCCATTGAGTTTAATGGAGCTTACTCCCTGGTGCCTGGATTGCAGAGTTAATTTCAAAATATTGGAATGCTTCTATTTAGGTTTTAGCTGTTCTGTGGGTATTTCTAATGGATCTGCCACAAATACCAAAAAAAATCTGCCCAACCCTGGTCCCACTCACCAGGGGGTTTGGGAAAAAGTAGTATCACAAGATTTAAAGGTCCTGATACAGCAGGAATAAGCCTCTATGCCGCTCTCCTCCAAAGCAGGGTGACCATGTCTGGCACTAGGTACAACTCTGAGAGCTACAGAGGATCGGCATGGATTTCTGACTCCTCCTGCTTAACAGCAGCAAAAAAATGTTGGTGTTGAGCTGCAGTTGCATGCCTGAAAGCTTATCGTGCTATGGCTTACTTTCGAGTAGACAGAATTTTGCCTTGGCTTGTATACCACCCCTCAGCTGAAAAAGGTTCTCCAGCCCTGCCCCACTGTTGAGAGGAAGAAAACTTGGGTAACCAGGGCAGTTTTCTGTATAAGCTCCTGAGTTCAGTCCCGATACTCAAATTGGATTCCTGGTTTGTTGTTGTTGTTAATTGGAAGTCGTGTTCAACCCATTGCGACCCCATGGACAACATTCCTCCAGGCCTTCATGTCCTCCACCATCCCCCGGAGTCCACCTAAGCTCACACCGACTGCTTCACTGACTCCATCTAGCCACCTCATCCTCTGCCGTCCCCTTCTTCTTTTGCCATCTATTGTTCCCAGCATTAGGCTCTTCTCCAGGGAGTCCTTCCTTCTCATTAGGTGGCCAAAGTATTTGAGTTTCACCTTCAGTATCTGGCCTTCTAAAGAGCAGTCAAGGTTGATCTCCTCTAGGACTGACCAGTTTGATCGCCTTGCGGTCCAAGGGACTCGCAGGAGTCTCCTCCAGCATCACAATTCAAAGGCCTCAATTCTTCGGAGCTCAGCCTTCCTTATGGTCCAACTTTCACGGCCATACATTGCAACTGGGAAAACCATAGCCTTGACTATACGCACTTTAGTTGGCAGGGTGATGTCTCTGCTTTTTAGTATGCTGTCTAGATTTGCCATAGCTTTCCTCCCCAGGAGCAAGCGTCTTTCAATTTCTTGGCTGTAGTCCCCATCTGCGGTGATCTTGGAGCCCAGGAAAATAACATCTGTCACTACCTCCATTTCTTCTCCATCTATTTGCCAGGAAGTGAGAGGATCGGATGCCATGATTTTAGTTTTCTTAATGTTGCGTTTCAAGCCAACTGTTGCTCTCTCCTCCTTCACCCGCATCAAGAGGCTCTTTAGTTCTTCTTCACTTTCTGCCATTAGAGTGATATCATCTGCGTATCTGAGGTTGTTGATATTTCTCCCAGCAATCTTAATTCCAACTGAAGATTCATCTAGGCCCAACTTTCTCATGATGTGCTCTGCATATAAGTTAAATAGGCAGGGTGACAGTATACAGCCTTGCCAAACTCCTTTCTCAATTTTGAACCAATCAGTGGTTCCGTGCCCAGTTCTCACTGTTGCTTCCTGACACATGTATAGGTTTCTCAAGAGACAAATAAGATGGTCTGGAACTCCCATCTCTTTAAGAATCTGCCAGTTTGATGTGATCCACACAATCAAAGGCTTTAGCATAGTCAATGAAGCAGAAGTAGATGTTTTTCTGGAACTCCCTAGCTTTCTCCATGATCCAGCATATGTTGGCAATTTGATCTCTAGTTCATCTCCCTCTTCGAAACCCTGCCTGTACTTCTGGTAGTTCTCGGTCCACATACTGCTGGAGCCTTGCTTGTAGGATTTTGAGAATGGGACGGCATAGAAATGGTTTAAACAAACAAACAAACAAACAAACAAACTTTGCTAGCATGTGAAATGAGTGCAATGGTGTGGTAGTCAGAACATTCTTTGGCATTGCCCTTCTTTGGGATGGGAATGTAAACTGACCTTTTCCAATCCTGTGGCCACGGTTGAGTTTTCCAAATTTGCTGGCATATTGAGTGTAGCACTTTTACTGCATTGTCTTTTAGGATTTTGAATAGCTCAGCCGGAATACTGTCACCTCCCCTAGCTTTGCTGTTGCTCAGGCTTCCTAAGGCCCATTTGACTTCATATTCCAGGATGTCTGGTTCGTGATCAGTGACCACCCCATCGTGGTTATCAGGGACGTTAAGCTCTTTCTTGTATAGTTCTTCTGCCTCTATTCGGTTCCTGCCACTTTGGTCCTTTATCATGCCCATCTTTGCATGAAACGTTCCCTTCATATCTCCAATTTTCTTGAAGAGATCTCTGTTCCTCCCTATTCTATTATTTCTTTACACTGCTCATTTAAGAAGGCATTCTTATCTCTTCTAGCTATTCTCTGGAATTCTACATTCAATTGGGTGTATCTTTCCCTTTCTCCCTTGCCTTTCGCTTCTTCTATCCCCAGTTATTTGTAAAACTTCCTCAGACAACCATTTTGCTTTCTTGCATTTCTTTTTCCTTGGGATGGATTTAGTTGTTATCTTTTGTACAATGTTGTGAACTTCCATCCATAGTTCTGCAGGCACTCTGTCTATCAGAACTAATTCCTTAAATCTGTTTGTCACCTCTACTATATATTCATCAGAGATATGATTTAGGTCATACCTGAGTGGTCTAGTGCTTTACCCTACTTTCTTCAATTAAAGCCTAAATTTTGCAACAAGAAGCTCATGATCTGAGCCACAGTCAGCTCCTGGTCTTATTAACTGTATAGAACTTCTCCATCTTTGGCTGCAGAGCACACAGTCAATCTTATTTCTGTGTTGACCATCTGGTGATGTCCATGTGTAATGTGTGGGTTGCTGGAAAAGACTGTCTGCTACTACCATTGTATTCTCTTGACAAAATTCAAGAGACAAAATTCAAGAGAAAAGATAACCGGAATAACAGGCCAGCCTGTGCCCTACTTCATTTTGTACTCCAAGGCCAAACTTGCCTGCTATTCCGGTTATCTTTTGGCTTCCTACTTTAGCATTCCAATCCCCCATGATGATAAGGACATCATTTTTGGTGTTAATTCTAGAAGGTGTTGTAGGCCTTCATAGACCTGGTCAACTTCAGCCTCTTCAGCACCAGTGGTTGGGGCATAGACTTGGACTCCTGTGATGTTGAATGGTTTGCCTTGGATTCGAACTGAGATCATTCTGTCATTTTGGAGATTGTATCCCAGTACTGCTTTTCCTACTCTTTTATTGACTATGAAGGCTACTCCATTTCTTCTGAGGGATTCTTGCCTACAGCAGTATACCTGATGGTCATATGAATTAAATTCACCCATTCCTGTCCATTTTAGTTCACTGATTCCCAAGATGTCGATATTCAGTCTTGTCATCTCTTGTTTGACGACATCCAGCTTGCCTTGATTCATGGATCTTACATTCCAGGTTCCTATGGAGTATAGATCTTTGCAGCATCGGACTCTCCTTTCACCAGCAGATACATCAGCAACTGAGTGTCCTTTCGGCTTTGACCCAGTCGCTTCATTCTTTCTGGCGCTACTAGTACTCGCCCTCCACTCTTCCCCAGTAGCATATTGGACACCTTCCGACCTGAGGGGCTCATCTTCCGGCGCCCTATCTTTTTGCCTTTTGGTACTGTCCATGGGGTTTTCATGGCAAAGATACTGGAGAGGGTTGCCATTTCCTTCTCCAGTGGATCACGTTTTGTCAGAGCTCTCTGCTATGACCTGTCCGTCTTGGGTGGCCCTGCACGGCATAGCTCATAGCTTCATTGTGCTATGCAAGCCCCCTCGCCACAACAAGGCAGTGATCCACGAAGGAGTGATCCATTCCTGGTCTGAAATTCTTTAATTCTCAGGGTGTGCCTTTTACTCCAGTCATGGTGGACTTTGGGGTTCTAACTTAAAAAAAAGGGGGGGGGGAGAATTGCCTGAAGTCTACCCAGCCTTGGTTAAAAGGGATGGCGTAAAATCCTGCACAACTTGGAGGGGAAAGGGCCATTTTTTAAAAATCCGAAACATGCCAAAAACAGTGGCAGGTTGAGAGCAATATTTCAGAACGGAAACCCCTTGCAATGGGATAGCGATACCTCATCGTGCCCGGAACACTACCTTCCTAGAGAGCTGAAAATAAGCAGCAAAACTTCCACAGAAACCATGCTTTGGCATCGGGCTTTTATGGGGTTAAGAATACTATGACATTGCAAGGGCTTCGGTCCTAAAATACTGTTCTCGGATGTCTCTAACATGCCCGGGGGGCCTTCCTGGGTCCCTGAGCGCCCCTCCAGCGTTTACACCGTTCCGCTCCACGGCGGCGCGCGTTCTCCCCTCCTTCTGACCCGCGGCGCCCCATGCGAGCGTGACCTTGTAATCCTGGGCGGCTTCCTCGACGGGAAACACGCGGTGGGTCCTGTGGGCGCGGGACTCCCTGCAGATGCAGCAGATGAGGCTCTCTTCCTCGCTGCAGAAGAGCTTCAGCGCCTCCCCGTGCTTCTCGCACACCTCCCCGTCTTCTCCCTCCTGGAAGGCATGCAGACTCAGCCGTTTGGTTATCTCCACTACATTTCCCAGCTCCCTGTTGGGCCTGAAGTTCCTCTGCAGGGCGACTTCCCTGCACTGCGGGCAGGAGAAATTGGTATTGCGCTCTTTCCAGCACTGCGTGATGCAGGTGCGGCAGAAGCTGTGCCCGCAAGGGATGGAGACCGGGTCTCGGAAGTACTCCAGGCAGATGGAGCAGGTGGCTTCCTTATGCAGGCTCTCCACGGGGTTCTCCATGGTGGCAGGCGCAGCCCCTGGTCCTACCCCCCCGGCCCCCTGCCGCGACCAATTCTCTTTCGTCACGCGGGCTGATTGGCTGAGCCAGAGGAAGGATTCACAGCCCAGCGCTCCGCTTGCTGGGAAACTTAACCCTGTGCATGCTGAACGAAGTGGGTTCCCCTCCTTCCAACGCATGGATTTTTTTAAGATAACAAGACATGCCAATTTGTTAAGGGAATAGGATTCTTTATGCTCTATATGCTGTCACACCGATCCGCAATTAAGGCTCAAATGGTCAGTTTCTTGCGAGGGCAATTAGGTTTATTTACAATTAAATGCATGGATCCGTGGGTGCCCAAGACAGGAACACCCAATGCTAATTTCCCTAGGGTTACATAGAATACACAAAAGGGGAGTGAACACAATACACAGGAAGGTGATTGGATACTTTGATATGGATAGGAAAGTGACTGGATACACGTCACAGCACCATAAAGAAAAGTTACCTTTCACTCTAATTAGATGCCTTTGACAGGCCTTCTTAGTTAAAGTTACCTTGAACAGGCTGGCCAAGTTAAGTAAACAAAAAGGCTACATGTGTGAACTTACAGGGTTAGGGGGGCACTTTAGCAAGCCTCTAAAACACAGAGATTACACTTTGACAGTTACCCCCTAATGGAGTGGGGTCATCTGGTCTTTACCACCAGACACCGAGGCATCTTTTGATGTGTTTATAGCAGGGCAGTGGGGTGGGATGGTAAGAATTGCTTTTCTGAGTACAATGCAAAATTATAAAATGTTTTGTGACACCTTGAAGACATGCCAATTTATTCAGGCATCAGCTTTTGTGCATGCTGCCTACCAGTAAGGATAAATATGTTTTAGGGTGTGACAACATTCTTTGCTGCTTTACTGCAGCAGGTTAACATGACACCCCTTTGAAAGGCCTGTACATGTTTCTCCCCCCACCCCTTGGGTACACTCCTAAGTGTAAAGCAAATGAACAAACTACATACTGAGTAAAATTAGCTGGGTGTGGGGGAATTCAAACACCACCATTAGGCGATACCTTTATTAGGGCCAAGCAAAATGCCAGGAAAATTTGGGGAAGCGTTCAACTTCTCTAGAATTCTCCATCAGGTTAATGGTACAAAAGACACTGACATGTTGTTGTTCCCTGTTTCTGCCCAGCTATTTGGAGGGAAGGGCAGTATCAGAAGAAGCGCCCAGATTCCTTCAAGCTGGAGCCAGCCATGCAGAGGAGGGATTCTGAAAGAGGGCCCAGGTGGGTTAATGTGGGAACTGTGTGCTGGCGGCTGCTCATTTATCGGTTCAGATTGCCATGTGCATCCATCACAGTGAACTGTCTACTAGTTTTGTAGGGTGCTGTGCACCTCTCTTGCGCCATTTGAGTGTGAAATTAATTTTTCCACTGCCTTGCATTTTGCTGTATAGGAACAGGCAGCTATTCCGTGAGGTTTCTCCTGGTTTCCCTATTCCATAGAAATTAATCTAGCAAAGGAAAATGGGGTGGGAAATTTCCTGTCCCACTTGAACAACAAGGTGTGGTGCAGGGAAGGGTCATGTTTCCTTTCTCCCAGTGGGGTTTCCCAACTGCAGCTTTCTTTCCTAGCTCCATACAAGTGAATGGACAGATTTGTCCCATTTACTTGTAGGACGAACAGTGAACTTTATTTTTATATATATATTTATTTTTGAATTTGTATGTCACCCACTAATCCAGATGGATTCTCTAGACAGCTTACAGTAAAATACTAAAAACAATAAAACCAATCACAAGAAAAAAATAGATATCACAATTATACCAAGTAAGCAGAGCAACTGTCAAAATTAAATAACAATTTAAGACTGTCCTTAAAAGTAGTTAGAGAAAAGAAACGTCTTTGCCTGGCACTGAAATGAAAATAAAGTTGGTGCCAGGCGAATTAGAACCTTTTCTATGACTACTAATAGAAAAACTATGTGGGGGGGGGTACAGTTGCTCTGATCTCTCCTATTCTGTTGTCCCAAAGTTCTGGAGCAAATTAGGTTTCCTGTTTGACATTTTTTTCCATTAGACCCTCCCAGGATTTTATTTTGCTAGGAACTCCTGGAACTTTGTCTCCCAACTCAGGGAAGTCTGACCTTCCTGTTGATTGGTGTGCCACTAAGGGCGTGAATCACCATTTCCCTTCCAATTTGAATCACATTGTTAATTTCCTTTGACCTTGATGTCTTGGGCAAACAAAAAGTAAAACGAATAGACTGGCAGATCTGTTCCTTCAGGACAGTAGTTTGGAAGTATATCTCTCTCTCTCTTATTAAAGAGATTTGTTTCCACTTTAATGAATCCTGGGAATAAACCAAGAATTCTTTTTCCTTGTTCAGAGAAAGCTGCCAGCGAAAGACCCGTTCCTCAGGTCTTGCAACAGCATATTGACACCCAGCTGAAATAAAACATTTCCTGGTGAGAGTCGCCATGTCCAGTGCGGAGGCAACCGTGCAACTCCAGGAAGAACTTTCTTGCTCCATCTGCTTCCAGTGCTTCAAAGAACCGGTCTCGATTCACTGTGGCCACAGCTTTTGTCGCTCATGTATCACTACGTACTGGAACATGGGGAAGAAAAAGTCCTTCTCCTGCCCTCGATGTAGAGAAACCAGCCAGAAGAAATTCCTTCAGCGAAACCAGGACCTGAAGAACATTGTGGAAATAGTCTCAAAGCTGATCATGAAGGGAGAGGGAGTGTGCAAGAGGCACCGGGAACCCCTCAAGCTCTTCTGCAAGGACGACAGAGCGCCCATCTGCGTGGTGTGCGACAGATCCAAGGAGCACCAGAACCACGCCGTGCTTCCCCTGGAGGAGGCCATGCAGGACTACAAGGTCAGTTGAAAGTGGTCCCTGACGCCAGGCGCTTCCAGGCTCACTCATGGCAGGACCGACACGTGCAGCGCTCCTTCTGGCCCTTCCTTGTTTCTTTGCCTGAGGCGTGTTGGTGAACCAGGCTGGAGGCTCAGGGAAGGGTCAACATTATGGAGGGGGGAGAACCAAGCATGCAGTTGGCTGTGGCACAGGAGTCTCTCTTCAGCAGCCAGAAGTGTTGCAGCAGAAACATAAATGGAGTTCACTGGCCGAGTATGGAGTTTTCTTTCTCCTACATATGCATTTTGCTTTTTATGACTTAAGCCTATAATGTGAATGATACCTGGGGGACACCTTCCAGGATCCGGTTCATTTAGTGGTTCAAACTACTATATACATTTCAGTCTCCCCATCCCTTCTGCCCTTGATTGTTTTTCTGAGTCCTTCTCCGGGGAATCAGAAAAACTGATTTTCTGTCCCCTGTGCCTTTGACTTCCTGCCCAAGCATATTCCACACGGTTTAAAATAAAAGCCAACAAGTTATGAGACATAATACGAAAGAAAGAGATACAGAGGAGAAAAGGAGAATAAGCAACCTCTGACTGCTAATGGAGGCATTTCTGTGAGGGGGAGCCATGTTGGCTAGGGATGATGGGAACTGAAGTCTTACAACATCAGGAAAGCGCTGTGTTGAGTTAGCTGGAGTCTGAATTTTGACATTGTGATTCAGTGTCTTCCTGTTTATCTGTGAAGAAGGCAGAGAGTGAGAAGGTGACACAAAATGTCTGTTCTTTCTTCAGAGACAAATGCAGGTGCAGCTGGAGTTAGTAAGGAAAGAAAAAGACAAGCTCCTTGGATTGAAGGCGATGGGAGCAGCAAGGAGCAAGGAGACTCTGGTGGGTGCTCATCCCTATTGACCAGCAGGAAGAATTTCTCCCCTCTGCCTATTTACTGGTAATGGCACACTCCCCTTCTGGAATCTGTTTCAGGAAATGATACAGTCTGGGATGCAGAAAACCGCGGCTGCCTTTCAGCAGACCCGTCAGCTTCTTGATGAACAGCTGCAGGTACAGGTGGCCCAGTGGAAATTCCTACAAGCTGCAGTTGAGGAGGAACAGGAACAGCAAGCTGCCTGGCTTTCAAGGAACATTTCCCAGCTGGACCACATCATCGCAGGGGTGGAAGGAAAACGGGGTCAGCCAGAGGTACTATGACACTGGTTCCTTCCATGGTGCACGAGAGTCCTGGATTGGCATAGACGTCGAGAGGAGCTCCTGAAACAGGAGTGAGAGAGCAAGGGGAGGGGCAGAAAATGGTTGTGGAAGGCCCAAAGCTGGCAGGCTGGAGGGGCAGTGCTTCCCATGGTGGACTCACCGTGGAGAGGTTTCTAAAACGCATGGTATGGAGAACGTTTGACTCCTTCACCCCTCACAGTCGAAGGCAGGGTTACCCAATGAAATTATTTGGAAGTAGACCCTGAGCCTTGAAGTGCTGTCCATCCACAAGAGAGAGACACTGACCAGCCAGGGGGAACTCAGGCTTTTAAAATGTCCTGCAAATTTTGTCCTTGGGGGCCACTTCTAAGAGGGGCCCCACCCCCAAAACAGCTCCTTGAAGACTCAGCATGCTCAGTAGGTGCATCCGTTGAAGGGCATGGGATCGAATGGAAAACCGGAAGTGAGAAATAAAGGAAGCGTCCCGGAAGAATATTCTTAAAATATGGATGTAACAATATAAGTGATACTGAGGTGGTTATGCATTTATTAACAACAAATAAGATGTAAGTTGCTGTGTAATGGCAAAAAGAAAGTGGAGACTTTTTTTCACATTTCTTCTGTAGTATTTGGGATATAGCCAGAATGCATAAAGTTACACATTGAATTTGTCTTTTTGAACACCAAATGTAAGAAATTCAATTATAAGGAAGTGATCCACTTTTATTAGTTCATGGAATGGTAAATTTGTCAAGTGCGTGCACTTACTAGTATAAGAAATCAGCCTCCTTTGCATTTCCCTTCCTCCTAAGCTTATTATTTTAAAATTAACCCCCTCCCCCCCAAAAAAAAGCCTTTAGGGAAAAGGGGCAAATACACCCAACCCTCTGTACAGCTTGAGGAGGACTGACCAAGCCTGCAGCTACAGAATTATTATTATTATTATTATTGTTGTTATTATATTACATTTTTATACCATCTGTAGCCAAAGCTCACAGCATTTAAGTTCACAGTTCACAGCATTTAAGTCACCCTTCCAGCTTTCAACCAGGCCCGACTCTGCTTAGCTTCTAAGATTAGGCAGGGTCAGGCATTTCATGTTATATGGAATGCAGCATTTCTGTTGGCGGGTGTAGGAATGGAATGGAAAACTGGAAAGGGGAAAGGGAAGAGAATATCTGGGAGGACATGAGTCCCTGGAAACTTGGGTGGAAGTCCTCCATGTTGCTGCGGTTCCCACTCGTATGTAATGCTGAACTCTCCCCTCTCTCCCCTCTAGGAGGTGAACGTCACTTTGACAAGGTATTTACTTGCCTTCTTCCTTCTACTTGTGCTGCACAGTGTAGGGAATTCTTAAGCTGAAGATGTCACTGGGCCAGCAGATGAAACAGTGTGGACATCACATTGTGTGCAATAGTCAGTTCCTTTCACGCACCCCCTAGCAACTAATGTGGGGCGTGATTCACTGTGGCAAGCGGTTGGTGGATTGGACTGGGGCTCAGGCGGTTCGAACCCTATTCCACACTCAGCCACGAAGCCCACTGTGCGACTTTAGGCCAGTCTGGAATTCTCAGCCTAACCTGCCTCACAGGACTGTTGTAATTATAAAATGGAGAAGACAATGACCATGTGAGTTGCCTTGGGATTTTGGCAAGAGAAAATGAGGCTGGGATGTGAGTGTAAATGCACACAATAAAGAGTGAAATATTAAGCTTCTGAATACAAGAGCCAAGAAAACAGGCAATTGTACATAACATTCCAGTTGATGTTTGAGCACAATTATTCCTCTTTTAGGTTCAAAAACAGGACACGTAAGCCAGTGTCAATATTTCCTGAACTGGAACAAAGGCTTGATTTTTTGATTAGACAAAATGTTGTCACTGCACAGACTCTGCGGAAAATTGAAGGTACATCTGGGTATGTCTCCTGTGATTAATTCCCAACCAGGGAGAGGGGCTGATTGAGTTTTCAGGATATCTAGAAGGACTTGTGTGCATCCAACATGCATGGGAGCCTATAGACACACTTTTGTTTTTCACACATTAAAGCTGACCTGTACTTATGTCAGAAATCTGTATCTTGCCACTGTGATCTTTGAGCCTTCAAAGCAGCTTAGAACTTCACATTTTTACAATAATCTAACCTCACTTGCCAATTGATTCATTTTTTAAAGCCAGCAACCCTATGCACATTTTTTGAAGCTGTGACTTTCAGCTTTCTTCTGGGGCCTATCAGATTATATACCAGAAACTAAAGCCTCTGTTTTTAAGGCAGCCATGACAAGTTGTGCCTGCCTGCTTGTAGGGTGGGCTGTTTTGCTCCTACAAAGTGTCAAAACTCTCTCCTCTGTGCTCATAAAATGACTCTTTCTTCTTTCTTTAGATATTCTGGCTTTGGAACTGGGAAAAGTTCAGCTGGACTCTCCAAAGCATGTGCCAACATCAACAGGTAGCATTTGTCTGCTGAGACTTCTCTGTAATGTGGGGTTTGTTACAAGCATCTTTGAACACAACAGCATGTTTTGCACATGTGTCCCGTGCTCCACGACCACGGGGCACAAGCTGAGTGTGAAGGCAGTTGTGCACATCGTCGAGGATTCCCACCATGTCTGAGGACAGAAGCGGCCTTGACTGTGTGGATGACATTTGCCGGAGATGAGATGGCAGGAATGCAGCCCTCTCTGTCCTGGATGCCTGGTGGTGTTGGCACCATGGATTGCGGCATCCTTTTGGGCAGGGGCTTTGGGTTGCAGTGGCTCCAGTTCTGGCTGAAGCACAGATCACAGATGCGGAGTGAATTCTGTGGCACCCCAGGGCCTTAGACGTGTGGGGTGCCTCAGGGTCCCGCCTGATCTTGTATGCTTTTCAATATCCAATTGAAGCAGTTGGGTAGCATCACCCAGAGCTTTGGGCTGCCTTGTCACCAGTAAGCTGACAGATGAGGAGCTGGTGCGGCTTCGAATTGGACAGGGGTGGCAGTGAAGCAGCACCTGCTGCTTTTTGGTGGTGCTCATTCTGATCTTTTGTTCTTACAAAACCCTTTTATCATCATTTTGTTGTGTTCAGTTTAGTTGTGCACCACCGTGGGAGGGCTTACCCTAAAACATGGCTTATACATCTTCTGAATAAACTAACTAAAATGTTGTCTAGATAAGATGAAAGTTTGTGGGCTGGGGGGAAAAGGGGGTACCATTGCATCAGTCCTGGATTTGTGGGGGACTGATGCAATCAGCCTGATCTCTAAAGGGGATCGTTCCTCTTCAGAGATCAGGCAAACAGCCTGGGAGTTTTCCTGGGCCTGATGCTCCCTGGGGAAGCCCAGGTGGCTGCCACTACAAGCACTGTGTTTGGGCCTCCTCACAATAGCCCAGCCTCTAGTTATCTCTGACCTGACTCCTGAAATACACTGTATATTGGATTGTCTTTGAGGCTGGCTTGGAAACAAAGGGCAGCAGCCAAACCCTCTGAGCATAACTCACTTCTTTTGTGAAGTTAGCCCTGAAACAAATTGGTTATCAAAGTGCTGATTATAACCTTTAAGAAAAGACAGTGCTGAGTAGCGGTCAGAGGAGTGGACTGAGCTTCAGGGGGGCCTGCTTCTAGACATCACTCAGCCATGGAGTTCGCTGAGTGGCTTTAAGCCAATCACTGACTCGCAGCCTCACCTACCTCACAGGGTTGTTGTGAGGGCAGAGGAGGATTGTACAGTGTAAGCCACGGTGAGTTCTTTACAAGATATAGGCAGGACTTAGTAAGTAAATAAATAACAGCTGGCCTGGAACAAGTGCCTTTATAAGACTGCCTTTATACCCCTAACCTCACCCCACAACCCTTTCACTAAGTAGAACTAAGAGGAGGCAGCCGTTAGTCCTGCCCCTTGAGATGTCGTGTGTCCTGTGTCCTTTATTTAGATGCTTCACCCTTTAAAGTGGAGAAAGACGAGTCCAGTTCTCTTGCTGCAAAAAGGAGAAAGCTAATGCACCCTGTTGACCCAGCTGGAAATCACTATCCGCAGCAAAACCCAGGAGACAAGGAGTGCCCTTGGCAGCCTTTGGACTTCTGCAGTGGAAAGCCTTCAGCACCTGCTCCAGAGCCTGCGGGGAACGGTAGTAAGCCGTGAAGAGGACATGTGGCTTTGCTGGGGTCACACTGAGCTGGGGGAAGGGGGCTGTGGGGGGCTGGCCACCCCAGATCCTTTTGGAGCCCTTTCTTGACCTCTTCAGCTTTCTATTTGTATTCTTATTTTTTCTATTACTTATTCTTAGGGCCCTTTAGTGATGAGGACAAGAGCACAGGGGGAGTTGTATTCAGACACTCAGCAGGAAGTAAGCAATGGTTGCAAATTTTGTTTGTTCACCTTGCTTGCTTGCCTTTTTGCAGATTCCAGTGCATAACAGCAGCTTCTGCAAACATTAGCAGGGGATCATATTCCTCTTCATGTCCTGCCAACCATCTTCCGCCTTCTGATTTCTACTGATCAATTGTTTGTGCCTGTGGGAAATTCCAAGAGAGGGCACAGTACTTTCTAGCACTCCTAATTCAGTGCTTTCTTAGAAATGCTGGGGATGTAAATTTAAAGTGTGAGCTGCCATCAACAAAGCCAGGTCCTCCTGGCTTACTGGTAGGACTGTGCGAGGGCTGCTGAAGGCTTGAAGAAACCCTGACGGCTGGGCTCCTGTGATACGGTGCAACGCCAGATCCCCTCCACTGGGGGCTGCATTGTCAAAACGGCAGCTGCGCACGCTGCAGCCCACTGTGGGCTGAATAATCCGCAAGGTGTTGGGTGGTGCAGACTGGCCCTTGGTGTCCTTCCCCAGCCCCTGGCACCCACCCCATTCCCACTGTAAGCGGGTTTCTTTTGTCACTGAACCACCCAAGTGGCTACCGGGTTGAGGCTGCAGGTCGGGACAGCAGGGGCAGGTCAGGGGAGTTCCAGCTGAGCCGCGGTTGCAGCGACATCTTCCATGCAACCAAGGATGGACCAGGGCTTAGGCAGAGGCCTGTCACTCTTCCCTGACACGGCCACTAAAAACTGAGCAGAAGGGGGCGCTAGTGCTGCGTCTGAAGAGCCAGGAAAAAGACTGAAATGGAGACCCAAAGGAGGGAGAAAGACATTACCATGAGGGCACAGCAAAGAACAGAACACAAAAGTTGCCCTTCTATGCATACTCGCCTGGGGGTGGGCCCCATGGAATGGAGAGGGGCTTACCTTTGAGTGAACATGCATAGAATCGGTAAGAATTTCTAGCATGTGCCCATGACTTTCCAGATTATTCTCCATATGCATGAGGGCTTTACACTCACTTTTCTTTATTCTCTCTGTGTGTGTGTGTGTGTTCTCTTTCCTCCTACAAACTTTGGGTATGGGAAACCTCAACAATCTCCTAATACAGTGGTACCTCGGCTCACGAACACCTTGGGTCACGAACAAATTGGGTCATGAACAAAAATTACTGAAAATTTTTTACTTGGGTTGCAAACACTGCTTTGGGTGGTGTTCCACCCAAATTTCTGTGGTCAGAGGCGTGTTGCTGCACTAAAGATGGGTGCAGCAAAGCAGAGCCGTGGGGGAGATTGCCGAGAATCCGCTTGTCATTCGTGCCGCTGCGCGCCTCTGATCATGAATCACAGTTGCTTTCATGCAGGGAAGGCGTGCGTGATCAGAGGTGCGCTGCTGCAGGAAAGACGGGAGCAGCAAAGCAAAGCCGCGGGGGAGATGGCTGAGATGCCGCCTGTCTTTCCTGCAGGAGCGCACCTCTGATCAGGCACCCCTTCCCTGCATGAATGGAACTGTGATCGCGGCCACCTCCCCACCCCCAGCGCACCGTTTGCGCCCGGCTCTCCTTCCTCCAGCGTGCCTGCAGTGCGCCGGGATGACGGGCACCTGCAGGGATGACGGGTGCAATTGCAGTCATGCTGTGGGGTGGGAAGATGGCCACGCTTGTGGTTGGGGTGCGGGAGTGAGGGGGAGATGGCCACGAGCTTTGTTGTTGCCATTTTGCTTCATCTTTTTCTGATTAAAAAAGTAGTTACAGAATGGATTAACCTTCTTTACATTGAACCTTATGGGGAAATTTGACTTGGCTCATGACCAGTTTAGGTCATGACCAGAGTCCTGGAACGGATTAAGTTTGTGAGCCAAGGTACCACTGTATTGTTGATGTCACCGAGGGTCAAGCATCCTCTTTTCATTTCCACAAATACTGGGAGTAATACCTCATGTGAAAAGATAGAAACCTCTTGCCAAATACTTTCCGACTTGCAGCAAAGAAGCAGTTTTGGTCCCAGATCAGACGGAGGTCTTTCCAAGCAGGGTCCCAGCCGCAGCGTGGCTTCCGGGAGGTGGAGGCCTCCAGGTGCAACTTTGTCTCTAACGCCTTTTCTGTCTCCTCTCTTTGTCTAGCAAATGTGAAAAAAGATCAGCAAGCAAGGTCTTTTCTTCAGTGCTCGCTTTCCTAAGCCGAAGGATGTTTCCTTTCCATCATGTTTGGCCTCTGGGACCACTTTCTAAACCACTCTTAGACCATTAGTGCTGCAAGAACACCAGCAATTCAGCCATTTTACCGGTAGCAGGTCCTGCATGCTTTCCATCCCAAGGAAATACATTGCAATGCTCAGCACCTTGTTGAATCTCCCTGTGGGTCTTCTCTTCCTGAACCACTTTGCCAGCATGGAAAGAAGAGAACGGTGACAAGCGACTCGAGGGAAGATTGACTTGAAGCAGGAACCTATTTGAGAAGTTTGAGTCTATTAGCTTGTTGCACCATTTTTTTCCGCTTTCCTAAAACATTTCATAATGTCTATTTGAAAAATAGTATGCAAGGCCTTCGTTTAATAAAGGCTCTTCTTCATGGTTAATTTGCATCCTTCTGGAGAGAGGGTAGTGTGTCCAGCTCTCAGCATACGTATTGTCATCTCAAAGCCCATGGTGGAAATCAGCAGAAGCAAGACCTGAATTAAAGAAAGACTGGGCGAGACAAACAGGACTGTGCAACAGAAGTAACAGGTTGTAGTGTATTGTGCCCTCTTCAGCTGGGTGGTCATATGCAAGAGGGAACATAGCTGCAGCTGCTAAGATTTCTTCTTCACAGAAATTCAGAGTCTGGGAGCCTTGTCCTCTTTTGCATCTGGCAGCCAAGCTGTGATTAAAGGATTCAGCCAGTCAACCCTTCTTCTGGGATTCTCTGTTCCATTTCTACTGGTTTTGGCTTTTCTTCTCAGCAGTTTTGTACTGCTGCAAACCTGGGGTTCCCACTAAGCCTAACGATAGTTCCCCTCACAAATGTTGCTGTTAGTTGTGAAGTCATGTCCGACCCATCGCAACCCCATGGACAACATTCCTCCAGGCCTTCCTGTCCTCCACCATCCCCTGGAGTCCACTTAAGCTCACACTGACTGCTTCAGGGACTCCATCCAGCCACCTCATTCTCCGCCATCCCCTTCTTCTTTTGCCATCTATTGTTCCCAGCATTAGGCTCTTCTCCAGGAAGTCCTTCCTTCTCATTAGGTGGCCAAAGTACTTGAGTTTCATCTTCAGTATCTGGCCTTCTAAAGAGCAGTCAGGGTTGATCTCCTCTAGAAATGACCGGTTTGATCGCCTTGCGGTCCAAGGGACTCGCAGGAGTCTCCTCCAGCACCACAATTCAAAGGCCTCAATTCTTCAGCACTCAGCCTTCCTTATGGTCCAACTTTCACGGCCATACATTGCAACTGGGAAAACCATAGCCTTGACTATACACACTTCAGTTGGCAGGGTGATGTCTCTGCTTTTTAGTATGCTGTCTAGATTTGCCATAGCTTTCCTCCCCAGGAGCAAGCGTCTTTCAATTTCTTGACTGCAGTCCCCATCTGCGGTGATCTTGGAGCCCAGGAAAATAACATATGTCACTACCTCCATTTCTTCCCCATCTACTTGCCAGGAAGTGAGAGGACCAGATGCCATGATCTTAGTTTTCTTAATGTTGAGTTTCAAGCCAACTTTTGTGCTCTCCTCCTTCGCCCGCATCAAGAGGCTCTTTAGTTCCTCTTCGCTTTCTGCCATTAGAGTGATATCATCTGCGTATCTGAGGTTGTTGATATTTCTTCCAGCAATCTTAATTCCAACTGGTGATTCATCTAGCCCCACATTTCTCATGATGTGCTCTGCATATAAGTTAAATAGGCAGGGCGACAGTATACAGCCTTGCTGAACTCCTTTCTCAATTTTGAACTAATCAGTGATTCCATGTCCAGTTCTCACTGTTGCTTCTTGGCCCACATATAGGTTTCTCAATAGACAAATGGGATGGTCTGGTACTCCCATCTCTTTACGAACTTGCCACAATTTGTTGTGATCCACACAATCAAAGGCTTTAACATAGTCAATGAAGAAGTAGATGTTTTTCTGGAACGCCGTAGCTTTCTCCATGATCCAGCGTATGTTGGCAGTTTGATCTCTAGTTCCTCTGCCTCTTTGAAACCCTGCCTGTACTTCTGGTAGTTCTCGGTCAACATACTGCTGGAGCCTGGCTTGTAGGATTTTGAGCATCACTTTGCTAGCATGTGAAATGGGTGCATTGGTGTGGTAGTCAGAACATTCTTTGGCATTGCCCTTCTTTGGGATGGGAATGTAAACTGACCTTTTCCAATCCTGCAGCCACTGCTGAGTTTTCCAAATTTGCTGGCATATTGAGTGTAGCACTTTTACTGCATCGTCTTTTAGGATTTTGAATAGCTCAGCCAGAATACTGTCGCCTCCACTAGCTTTGTTGTTGCTCAGACTTTCTAAGGCCCATTTGACTTCACATTCCAGGATGTCTTGCTCGAGGTCAGTGACCACCACCCCATCGTGGTTATCAGGGATGTTAAGCTCTTTCTTGTATAGTTCTTCTGTGTGATCTTGCCACCTCTTCTTAAACTCTTCTGCCTCTGTTAGGTCCCTGCCATTTTAGTCCTTTAACATGCCCATCTTTGCATGAAATGTTCCCTTCATATCTCCAATTTTTTTGGACAGATCTCTGGTCCTCCCTATTCTATTGTTTTCTACTTGGAGATCCAGTTTGCTAGTAGGAGTTGAGTACAGCTGTGTGCTTCAGAGCTGGCTCTGCTCTCGGGGAGGATGTGTGTCTGAATTCGTAGGGGATGGCCTTCTGTCCAAAGGACTATCCAAGCCAAGTTGCTTTAAAGGTAAAAAGCTATCGGAAGGAAGAGTAGCTGAGCCTTGGAGTTGCTCCACCACATCCTGAACCTGGACAGTGGACAGGGCAGAACCCAAGTCACAGCATTCCCTATGGAGAGATGGATTTCTATTTCACTTATGGTAATTCTTTCTGAATGTGCATCCTTCAGTATAAGTTCACACAGGGGTAGACAATGTTATGCCTGCGGCACCAACCTGCCTCTGCTGCTTTCATGGTCGTAGAAGAGCAGAACTGGATGGGGCCAAGAAGGCCATCATGGCCAAGCCCCTGCTCGGTGCAGGACTCCCTCCCAGTTGCATCCTGAATGCCTCCAGTGCGGGAGAGCCCACCACCTCCCCAGGTCATTGGTTCTGTTGTCATACTCCTCTAACTGTCAGGAATTTATTTCCTGATATCTAGTTGGAATCTGGATTCCTGTAACTTGAGGCTGTTATTCCATGTCCTGCACGCTGGGAGGATGGAGAAGAGATTCTGGCCTTCACAACTGTCAAGGACTTGTGCAGTGCTAACTTCTCTCCCCTCAGACTTCCCTTCTCTAGGCTAAACATGCCCAGTTCTTTCAATCTCTCCTCACAGGGCTTGGTTTCCAGTCCCTGGATCTTCCTTCTTGCCCTCTTCTGAACCTTTTCCAGCTTGTCTGCATTTTTCTTAAACTGTGGTGGTCAGAACTGGACACGGTACTCCAGATGAGTCCTCACCAGAGCTCAGTAGAGGGAAACTACAGAATTTGGAAGTGTTACTTATCTTAATGCAGCCTAAAATAGCATTTGCCCTTTCACAGCCACATCACATTGTTGAATCATATTCTGCTTGTGACCTACAACAATTCCAAGAGCCTTCTCGCTTGCAGGATTGTTGAGCCAAGTATGATAACTGTAAAAAGTACTGTTTCTCCTATTACTTCATATTTGAAATCCCTTTGCTGCTTATTCCTTGTATACATCCCCTAGTTAGCTCTCTAGTAACTCATTGGCTATACTTGCAGTTTTGCCTCTGGTCAGGAATTTACAGGGATATAGGATTGGGCAGGTGCCTCCTAGCTTAAGGTGCCCTCCTATACTCTGCTGATATTATCTGAGAAACCACAAGATTTTTTGGAGTCAGATCGCAAGATCCTCCATCTCCAAATGCTGACCCTCACCCTGCCATGCCCCCTTACAGCCAGACGACCATGTCCCAGCCTCCTTCCTGCTTCATCTGCCCTAACAGATGGCTGAAAACAGCCCTTTAGATAAAATGCAGGGTGAGGGCACAGCAGAGGCAGTGATGGCCCTGCAGTTTTCTTTCTGCCCAGGCTTGGTGAACAGAGCACAGCAAAACTGTCTCTCAGTGGCCCACTCCAAAGGGTGGCTTCCTCTAGATGTTTATCAGCACTACTTGTCTGTAGAGTGCTTGTGAACTGGCAGATTAAGCCTGACAGGTGGCTCTCTGGAGAAATATGTAAAGCGGGACATGGTCCCAAGTGCTTCCTTGGAACAGGAACAGGTGACAGTGGGTGGCGCAGGTTGGCTTCAGCAGAGATCACGTTCTTCAACACTTATTGCCACGACGATATAATATTGCACACTATATTCTGTTTTCTCCTGGGTTGTGTAAATACTTCACTTCAGGCTTCTTGATTCACCACAGGTAATTTGGTTTAGAATGTGAATTCTTTATTAATTATTTTATTATCTTGCATGGGTGAACTTGTATACTCTGGCCCCTTGGTTGCCTTCAGTCCAGTCACTAACAAGCTTAGTTTCTTCCAAGTTGTGCAGTAAGGTTTCCCTTGCTGGCCCCCTGCAGGGAGCTGACTGGGTTTGCTGGGTTTCCAAGGGAATGAAATGCAAAGTCCAAGCCAGCTCGTTTACAGGGCATTTAGCAGCAAGCGACTCACGGCACTTGGCGCAAACTGGACTGCGAGGCTGGCTTCAGTCTGCTGCCTGAGAGATCCGTGGCCCAGTGGCAGGCAAAGGACTCCGTCCGGTTGACAGAGACAAGTTGTTTACCAGCACAGCTACTAGTCAGTAACCAATTTTAATTAGCAGTTGCCACTACATACTGTTGTTGGCCCTAGGCTGGGCATATGGTCCTCTTCCTATCAGTAGCCTAACCTGAACATTGCTGTGCAACAGGCGTTATGAATGCTTGATAATGTTAAAACTGTGGGCTGGTCTAACTGAGCTTGCCTCGAAGGAGTGTTGGTACAGGCAGGTGCCACTAACAAGCTCTTGGCCCAGCTTACATGTTGACAACTAATTAATTAGCAACAGAAGGCTGCCAAGGAGGGCATGTGTCTGTTCTTTGACTCTTCTACACTCACTGAGTCAGATCACATAAAAGTTATTCATTTACTTACATATATTTATAGGCCACCTATAATTGCCTTCAGAGGATGGATGCTACAGACTCAACATGGAAGATGCAGACACAAAGCACAGAAGCCTTTAAGTAGACAAAAATATTATTCTAAACACTAACCAGCTGGGTTAGAACTGCAATAAGAAATATTTATTTATTACTTTTCTATGCTGCCCAATAGCTGAAACTCTCTGGGTTGTTCACAAAGATTACAATCATAAAATACACCAGAAAGTACACTACTAAAAGTTTAATGTGACAGTATAAAAGGAAAGTAAAAACCAAAGTAAAAAAAAAAGTACAATTTTAAAACATAGTGAAGGGTTTAAGACAAGAGAAATGGAAAGACTAAAATATTTAAATTGTGAAAATCCATATGTTTTGTTACAAGCCTGGGACATAATTAGGATTATATAAGAAACACTGAGGACATGTTGCTTCACTGTACTATGGTGGCAGTGCTATACTTACCTGGAAGCAACCTGCCCTTTGAAGAAATCCACTGAGCCTTGCCTGTCATTAATGCATTAGCTGGCCAGGTCCAAGCAAGCTGCAGCCAGGCAAAGCTGGGAGCCAGAAGCCAGTGTGGGCCCCAGTCCCACTCCCACACTAGCTCCACTGAGAAGCTTAGCCCAGCCCTACATTCCCATAAGCTCCTCATCAGAAGGAAAACTAGAAGGTGAGCTCTCTCTGCAGTGTTAGAGGACCAATTAGCTATGAAAGCAAATGGGTTTCAAATAGCAAAATAAAATAAGCAATTAAAAGCTTCCTTATACACACAGGTCCTTTAAGGAACTTATTCAAACATACTGATAATGTTTGTAATGTGCATTTTAATGTAGACAAGTTTAAGTAAACAACACATGCAGGTTTCTAAATTAATCTCGTTTGTTTATCCCATGCCTATGACTGTGAGAAAGATTTTTGGTTTGATTTTCTGGCAAGAGCCAAACCACATGCCTCACAGATCTGCAAGTCAGATTTCCTGAGTTTCAAAAGAAACAAAACACTGTAAGGCAGCCATGGATACTCTAACTTTGTTTTGAGCAGCTGGCACTGGGATAGTAAGAAAAGCAAGCAGTAACTCCCCTCCCTTTGAATAACCTGGCACACACCTGTGCACACCTTGGCACCCCTGCTTAAAAAGGCTGGGTAGCGAATAATAGGAAAGATCCTCTGCTTGAGACCTGGGAGCCCTTTTGCCAATCGGAACAGGAAAGACTGGGCTGGCTTGATCAGACCTGGATCCGTGGGAGGCGTGGCTATAGCATCCCGAGAGAGAGGGATGATTCAGACGGCATCCACGGTGTGGGAAAAAGATGTATATGTCCTCTTCCAGGGACCACTGCACCATCACCCCAGTCAAAATCAGAGCACCCCGCTGCTGCTTTAAAGTCACTAAAAGAGAGAGAGAGAGAGAGAGAGAGAGAGAGAGAGAGAGAGAGAGAGAGAGAGGACCATCTATCACCATTCTCATACTTTATATGTGGTTGGGCTCCCTCACAGGTCCTTCCACTCGGAGGAAAAGCAAGCTCCGATCCTGAACCCAGATCTCAGGATCAAGATTTAGTTGAATGTCCTGCGCAATTATATCGCAAACAAGCCCAACTTCCTCCTTACCATCCGCAGGAACTCGCTGCCTCAAACCCAGCCTCAGCCGATCCAGGGGAGGAAGGGAATGGGTTAAACAGCAACACATCCAGGTGGGAAAAGGAAAGTGAAATTCAAGTTCTGCCTTCCGGGAGGCGAGAATTATGGACGCAAGCGTCCTGCTGGGCCGGCTGAGCAAGGAAGCCTTGTGCTCCTTATGCCAGGAGTATTTCAAAGACCCCGTGTGCCTCCACTGCGGCCACAATTTCTGCCAAGCCTGCGTTACGCAGCGCTGGGGGGAACTCGAGGCAAATGTCTCCTGCCCTCAGTGCGGAGAAAGCGGCCAGCGGAAGAGCTCCAGGGAGAACCAGCATCTGGCGAGAATCGTCGAAATTGTCAAATGCCTGAATCTGGACGCGCTGGAGGACGGGAGGGCGTGCGAGAGACACGCGGAACTTCTGAAAGTCTTCTGCAAAGAGGATCAGACCCCCATCTGCCTGGTGTGCAGTCTGTCCAGTGAGCACCGGCGCCACACCGTGATTCCCATGGAGGAAGCGGCCCAGGAATACAAGGTAGGGGGTTGTCCTGCGGTGGGAGAGTGGGCGGGGATGGCGGAAGCCGAGAGACGCGGCCGGTGCCCGGGCGCGCAGCCTAGGGCGCCTTCGCAGCGCGCTGGTTGGTGACCCAGGCGCGGACGGTGGGATTGGCCCGCGAAGACGCTGCGAGTCGAAGCCGTTCCTTGAAAGTATAACTTGGATCACTGCGATTGTCGAGCGAGGATCGACAGCGCCACCGTTATAAGGCGTGTTGGAGACCGGGAAATGGGACAGGGCTGAATTGCATCGAACGATTTGAGATTCCTTTTCTCCTCTCCCCATACAACCCCCCAAATCCCAGTTCAATCATTTTTCTGTCCAAAAGGAACAATTTCAGATGGAATTGCAGACTTGGAAGCAAAGGAGAGAAACGCTCCAGGCACTGAAGCTGGCAGAAGAGGGAAGAAGCAGGAAATCTCTGGTAAATCAAAGGGTAGACGGGGAAGGTTGCCCTCTCCCTCCTGCTCTTCTCCATCTGTGCCTGTAACAGCTCATCAGTAGAAAGAACATGAGCAGATATTTTTTCCCCCAGCGTGAATAGCCAGTGGTTGGGAGGACTACATCTGCAGGGTGACGCACCAGTTAAAGGCGCAGGAGCCCTGCCAGGGAGAAGCGCTGGTGGGGAGACCTATTGGCACGAGTGAGTTTAAAGAGTAAGGCTATAGGAATTGCTATGGCTGTTGGCCTAGATGGGGCTCGTATGTCTGGATGGCAGGAAGAAGTTGGGAAGGCAGCTTTCTTTGTCACTCACTGCAGCACTGGAATTTGGGATTAGTGCCATAGGGAATTTGAAGTGGGTGTGCTTGTGTCTCTGAATGTAAGCCTGTGTGCTTGATGTCAAGGCTGGTTCATTTTCAGGAGGAAGAGAAGGAAGCAGCTCTTTCTTCTGCTTCTCCTTGGGACGGCTTGGTGCCGCAGCTTTGCCTGCGTGCAATTCATGCGTGCAAGAGCAACACAGTAATTGTGCATCCAGGGAAGTGCCTGGCCCACTGCTAACTTTTCAGCAGTTGGTACATGTGCCAGTCTCCTTTTCCAACCACAGAGGGCTTTTATGCTTACTTAGGAGAAGTTCTTGCTAGTTCTGCCTTGGTTTATTGTCGTAAAGCAGGATTGGGAAACCTTTGGCCTCTCAAGGGTCAGCTACGGCACCTTACCTGCAAGCGCATATACTCATGTGTAACAAAAGCCCCAAGATTACCTTCTCAAATGGACAGCGTGTCTTGCAATAACTGCCAGGAAACATAGAAGGAAAGTCTGTTGCTCTTCTAGCAACTTTTATCTCAGAACAAACTTGGCAGGCTGCTTCCCCCACCTCTGCCAAGCTGATGCACCAACACATCTCTGTTAACCATCACCTGCCTCTTGGTTGTGTTGCCGCCAGAGCAGGAGCTCCCAGCATTTGGTGTCTGAAGGTCATGACAGGTGCAGTAGCACATCTCATCATGAAGGCAGGAATAATGAGTCACAGAGGGGCCATTGCCAGCACCCTCTGTGATACTCCTAATGCTTCCAGCCACAGGCTTGGGTGGTTTGTTTATTTATTTATTTATTTAAAACTTTTGTATGCCATCCCTTATGCCTTGGCATCTCGGGATGGCTAACAATCCTTAAGACTGAAATACAATAAAATCACAAGTATTTTGTGATCACATAATTCAATCACAATTCAATAAAAATTCACATAAATCACATAATTCAATAAAATTTACATAAAGGACAAAATCAAAATCAAAATATTAATGTTTTTAAAATAGTGATTAAATAAAAAGGTTTGACCTGGCGCCGAAAAGAATATAAACTCAGTGCCAGGCGCTCCTCTCCAAGGAGCACTTTCCATAATCTCTGGGAGAAAGCGCCAGGCATTTTTCCACTGGGTCCCATAACCCACCTCAGTGGCCCTCGCTTCCACTACCTCGGCTGTTCCACTCCCTTCACCCTGACCAGTAGCTATGCTAGCAGAGGAGGATGAATGTTGTAGTCCAACAGCCTCTTAGTGAGTGAGGTTGCACATGGTAGGCATGCCATGAATGCAGCTGGCTGGAGTCGGAGCTCAGACTAAATGACCCAGGAGACCCCTTCTGACTTGCTTAATTTCTGTGTTTCTATGTTAGGAGGTCCTGCTGTAGATGGTCAAAAATATCCTAGAGCCAGTTTGCTTAGAGAATATGTTTTATTGGACAACCATACAAATATAGTTTAAAAATGTTATCTTCCAAGTCAAGAACCTCACCTTTTGGAGTCTGCTTTATACTGACAAGGGGTGCCACACTCTCTCAGCCACAACCCCTCCCTTGGCCATATCATTCACAGGGGGAAGGCAGATGTTACATTTGTAGAGCATCAGGGCTGCTCCGGAAGTACCTCCACCGTTTCCATTCCAATCCTATCTTTTTTTCTCCAGGGTTGTGTTCTGAGGGGAGAGGGGGAAGAATTGCAAATCTGGGACAGAAGCCAACTGTGTACAAGCCTGAACTGACTGCCCTACAGGCCTTGAAATGTTTTGCCATTTTATTTATGTATTTTCTTGCAACACTTGTATCCTGCTCCCATAGCCATGAAGCTCTCTGGACAGCTTTAAGTTCACTGCTTTAAGGGGGGATGAAGAGAAACATTCCCGTGGCAGTTACTCCCCTGCTCCACTCCATAGGGGTTGGGCACTACTATGCAAAGCTGCCACATTAGTTGGAAGGCCAGAAAGATGCTGAATTGGTTCCTATGGCTAAGGAACCTGCTACAAGCTCTCTCTTCATGCTATATCTGTCTTCACTCTCAAGTAGAGTCCTTATCCAATGTTGCAGTTCACTCAGCTGACCTCGCTTTAGGAAATGGTCGCAATCGTGTCATCGCACGCCATGCAAGATGTCCCGTCCCAGTTCCCTAGAGCTCTTTCTGATGCTCTGTTGTGGCTTTCGTTTTTGGATCGGCCCCTTGCACAGCATCCGATCACTAGTGCACCTTGCCCTCTTGGCGCTGAGGGGCTCTCCGGGTTTTCAGGCAGGGTTCTTTCCTGGCCTTACATGGAGCTGTCAGGGATCAAACCTGGGAAGGCATGTGCTTTGCTGCTGAGCTATGGCCCTTTGCTGATGGAACCATATTTGGAAGAGGCCTGGAAGACCATTTGGTCCAACCCCCTGCTTCATGAAGGTCTCAAGTCTCCCATCCAGATTCTAACCAGGACTGGCCTTACTTAGCTTCCAAAATTAGGCAGGCTCAGGCACATCAGGCTACACATAGAGCTTGAAGTGTGGCTATGCATAGATATAACATTAAAACATTATGTATAACATTATAACATTAAAAGTCCCTGATTGTGACAGCTTAGGGATTACTTATCTCTCTTAACTGATTTTATGAATACATTTGCTCGTGTGTCTAAGGAACGGTGGTCTAGCAATCTGGATGGTGCACCATCCTCTCTTGTCATGACCACGGATATTTACCTAAAGCATAACGTGATCCTTTCTCCATACACTGGGGTGCTTCCTGGGTCCTTTTGCTGTGCTTGGGAATGGCTGTATGTGTATTTCTGTTGTCCTGCCCAACCTCTGTTTTTAACCTGCTCATTAAAGGAAAAGCTAGACAATGAAGGGAAGAAGATTGTGTCTGAATTCGAGAGGCTGCACCAGTTTCTGGACAATCAAGAAGAACTCTTGCTGGGTAAGCTGGAAGAGCTGGAGAAGGATGTGATAAAGGAAGAGAAGACAATCACTTCTTGGCTGTCCAGGGAGATTTCCAGCCTTAGCGACCTCCTCAGTGAGATCGAAGAGAAGCATAAGCAGCCAATGAGCAAATTCCTCCAGGTGAGGACATGGGTTTTTCCTCTGAGAAATCAAGAAGTGTCACAACTAGGCAAGTGGTTGAATGGTATGAAGTTACCCCCAAAGCTTCTTTTGAATTCTTATGGATTTTTCTTACACTCAGGCTCAAACTAGAAAAGGCCTGACCCCAGGGACACTGATTAAGTGAAGCCATCTTTTCACTTCACATGACCTTGGGTTTTTCTTGCCTGAATTAACTGGAGCTCACAGAGCCCTGGCAAATCTGCAGGGGATGGTCTTCCACCACTGTGGGTGGGTAGAAGGAAGGAATGTTGAGGTTGCGGGTCTTTTTCTGAGCATGGGTTGTCAGGTACCAGATCTGCTTCCTTGAAGAAGCTGTAGATTTCTAGACAAAGGACATGTTAGCAAAAGCACCGCAATGCCTCTCGTCCAAAGAAAAAATAATGCATTTACTGCTAGCTCTAGCCTGAAGTGCCTGATCCTGCCTAATCCTGGAAGCTAAGCAGGGTCAGGCCTGGTTGAAATCTGGATGGGTGACTTAAATGTTGTGGACTGTTCAAGAGCTTTGGCTATGGCTGGTGTAGGAATGTAACAACAACAACAACTTCTAGTCACTCAGAGAAATGGGCAGTAGGTGTCCTTAGGTGCTTCCAGATGATCTACTCTTTTCTTTCTATCTTAACAGATCCCCCCCCCCCACACAAAGTAAGAAAAAAGACAGAAATAGTGGAGTAAAAACACAAGAGCCTCATTTCATGCATCAGGGTAGTCCAATGAAAACCTCCTCTGGAAGCATCCACTGTTAGCATTACGGGGGAAAACAGACTTTAGTAAGTAGGAACCTGTACAGTGAGACATTTTATGTCACCTGTGCATAAGTAATTAAAGGGCTTCAGTTGAAAGCTATGTGAAAAAGATGCAAGGGACTCCCTCATACAAAACATCATCTGGAAAGTCCCTGTTCAAAGGGAAGTAAGCTCAGAAATTGTTTTGAATGATTAGCATGATCTCACTTTCTGTTCTCTCTCCCATTCTCAGGATCTCAAAAACATCTTAAGCAGGTATGTGATTCCTCCATAGTCCTTGAACCTTTAGCACAGCAGGCCTAAAGAGGACGGTTGCCTGCTTGAATATTAAAGCTGGCTTGGGCAACTGGTTCTTCTGTGCCAGAGAAAGATAAGAGAGCTCTTAATTTTTCCCTAATACCTTTTGGTGCGACTTACTCAAGAACGTTTTGTGCCTAGCATGATCACATCTGCTTCACTCTGCACAAGGTCTCCTCTGTTTAATATTTCAAGGGCAGATCGGGGTTTCTCCCACCACATCCAGGAGCATCTCTTTTTATTGCTTTCTCATTTGGGGGGGGGGGGGGGGGGAGCTTAACATCCTGCCTGGAAGAGAAGGGTCTCAGCTTCACAATAGGAGTTCTGCAGGCAGGCTGTCTCAGGTTCAATCTCTATATTCTCCACTTACAAAAGAATAAGGTAGCAGGTGAAGGAAAGATCTGCCTTGCAGCCTAGAGGGCATTTGGGCATCTTGGAGACCAAATGCTGCCCTCAGACGCCTTCCATGCAGCCTGCCCTGCGCTCTGAAGCTCCTGCTACAGAGTCCCCCCTTCCTGAGTCACTGTCAGCCATTCAGCTGCCTGGTTGTCTTGCAGGGGCATGAATGTTCTGGGAAGATGATGCGTGGGGGTGAAACTTCTTGCACACCGTCTTGCCCAGAGCCAGCCCATCCTCACAAGGGACCTCTTTTCTGAGCTTGGGGAAGCATCATGTGCCAGAGGGGACAGCAAGTGCAGAGCATTGATAACCAAAGGATGGTGCTGTAAAATAAAAATATAATAAACCATAATGTAAAACAGGGAACCGATGGAAATAGGCACGGAGTAAGACCAAAGTCAAATCGATAACAGCAGGACAGGGAACTAAAAAGCATGGACTTTATAAAACCAAGCAACCAAAAAGTGTGGAGAACGATGTAAGCCATGCTGAGGCTTTTGCAATAGGACGGCATATACATATCACAAACAAACAAACGAATGAATGAATGAAAAGGGCCTCACTTGGTACCAAAAAGTCCCCAGTGTAAGTGCCAAGCAACCCTCTCTGAGGAGGGCATTCCGTAACCAAAGGGCGTTCAATTGATAGAGGTGGGGGGCTCTCCCACACTAGAGGCCTCCAGAAAGAACCTGGACGGCCATGTGAGAGGGATGGTGTGACGTGGTGTCCTGCAACAGCAGAGCTCTGGACCCGATGGCCTTCATGGCCCCTTTTCACTCTACTGTTCTATGAGTCTGTGATGAGTTGTCTCATCCAGGCCCACATCTACAAGGGCTTGCGGTGGAGTCTTTCTCCACAACTAAGATTGTGAGGTCTATGCTAGGATGCAAGAGTCCTGCTGACGCAACCGTCCCCCAGCAGTGTGCCCTGCAGATCAGGCTGTGGTTGATAGAACAAGGCACAGGGGATGAGAAAGGGGCCAGAAAGCACCACAAAGGCCCCACTTCTCCCGGAGCACCATGGGCCAAAAGGAGAGTCCACTTCACTTCTTTCTGCCCTGCCCCCACCCACTGTATTTGCTTTTAAAATCCTCATTTATTACCCACTACATAAGACATCATCATTTGCAGAAGTACAATGGCTGCCCAAACACAGTTAATGTTCATGTTACACTTAACAGTAACACTGGCTTGTTCAGTCATGGCATGCTTATTTTGCAATGATTCATTCCAAAACTGGAAAAACCTTGGCTTTGAGAATTCCCAGGCCTCTGGTTGAAATGGTCATTTTCCTCTTCCAGATGTGAAGCTCAGAAGAACCAACAATCAGTTGAGCATTCTCATGATCTGGAGAAGAGACTGATTACCTTCTCTGAGAAAAGCATGCGTCTTGAAGAGATCCTAAAGGAATTCAAAGGTACCAGGGCAGAAACAGAACTATTCCTGACCAATGGAGAGAAATGGAATCATTAGTTGTTCCCAGATAATGGGATAGAAAGTTTTGGGATCAAGGAGCCACAGATAAAGTGTAAAGTAATTCATATTGGTGCAAGCAATTCCAATTTCAGGTATGGTCTGATGGGATCTAAGCCATGACTGATCAAGAAAGGGAGCTTGGGGTGGTCATGGACAGCTTGATGAAACTCAGTGCACAGCCCGAAATAGCACTTGGCCTTTTTGCAGCCACATCACATTGTTGACTCGTATTCCACTTGTGATGTACAACAATTCCAAGAGCCTTCTCGCCTGCAGGATTGTTGAGCCAAGTATGATAACTGTAAAAAGTAGTTTCTGAAAACACTCTGTCCTATTACTTTCATATTTGAAATCCCTTTGCTGGTTATTCCTTGTATACATTCCCTAGTTAGCTCTCTAGTAACTCACTGGCTATACTTGCAGTTTTCCCTCTGGTCAAGAATTTACAGGAATATAGGACTGGGTAGGAACCACCAAAATTGTACTCCCCTTATACAAATCCTTGGTGCGGCCAGACTTAGAATATTGTGCGTAGTTCTGGTCTCCTTACTTGAAGAAGGACATTAATGAGTTGGAAAATGTGCAACTAAAGGGCAACTAAAATGATCAAAGGGCTGGAGTGACTCTCCTGTGACAAGCAGCTGCAGCAACTGGGACTGCATAGTTTAGAAAAACAAGTCAGGGGAGACGTGACAGAGGTGCTTAAAATTATGCGTGGGGGGCGAGAGATTGAGAGAGAGAGAGAGACTGAGAATGAGAGAGACTGAGATTTTTCTCCCTCTGCCATGACGCTAGAACCTGAGGTCATCCCATAAAGCTGATAGGCGGGAGGTTTAGAACAGACACAAGGTAGTACTTCTTCACTGTGGAATTTGCTGCCACAGGATGGCCACTCATTTGAAGGCTTTAAAAGAGGACTGGCGGCTATCAGTGGCCACTAGCCTTGCTGGTGCTGTCTCACTACGTGCTGTGCCGGGGTGATTTGCCTGCACGCGCCCTTTGCCTTGCGGAGGAGCTGGGCAGGAGGAGGTCCTGCACCCCTCCCGCTCGAGGGATCCTGCGTGCAGCTGGCTTGGCACTGTGTGCGTGGGGTGCTGGACCAGAACGACCTTTGGTCAGGTCCAGCATGGCTTTTCTTATGCTCTTGTAAGTCTTAGATAAATATATCAGATGAATTAAGGCAGGAGAGGAGGGGGGTCGCGGCAGATCCACCGGGACTACGCAGCAGAGACAGTGGTGAGGAAAGACTTCTTTGAAAGCAGAACTTTGCACGTCGGAGTCCTGGCACTTCATCCTGTAGAATCTGATGTCCATTTTCCTACTTTTCTTCCTTTCTTGCCTCCAGCTGCTCTGTCAATTGAACTGGAAAGCACATCTTTGCTAAAAGAGGAACTGGGAGTGAGGAAAGGCAGGGCAAGATGGTTCGAGTTGCCTTACGCCGAAGTGAAGAAAAGAGGCAGACGAGGTCAGTGCTTGTTCAGATACTGCCCGTGGAGCAGCGGAGTTTGTTTGGCACTGGGGGACCAGTGTTCCTGCCCTCCTGTTGGGGTCAGAAACAGGGCTGGTCCTGAACATCTTGGGTTTTAAGGTGGGGACTAAATGCCCCTACCCAGTTCCACATACAGAAGTTCAACAGACTGGCACTCAAATCTTCACACCGCAAGGCTGCAAGCTAAGGACTGGAAACATGTTACTGGAAATACATAGCATGCAGATGGGCCTCGTTTCTTTTTGTGCATCTAAATAAGCTAATGAGGCCAGATTGGAGCAGGACCACTGCACACACACTGAACACCGCCCCCCCCCCGGCCCAGCCATCCCTTTCCCCACTTCACAGGGGTTAAAACAAGAGAAAAGAATCCATTGTGGTGCCAACTGAGTTCTTCTTTTTCTGGGTGGCGGGGAAAGCGGCAGGGTGGGAAGGTGTGAGCATTTCCAGTCCACACTGGTGACATGGATCCAGACTGAGACTATAGGCTTATTGGAAAGTAGAAAGCTGAGGCTCAGTGCATGCCACAAATTTCGTACAATGTGTGGTTTAGTCTCAGCATAAAGGGTGCAGGACAGATCATGTGATGCAAACAGCTCGGCCTCCCAGTGCCTCACCAGCATCCCCAGCCACTGAATCTGCTGCTTGAGGGGACTCTGCCTAACAGTAGGGCCAACCCTAGCAGAGGCCTTCCCTGCTCCGCCTGGAACCCCAGTCACCCAGGGGGCTTTGGCTAGAAATGGAATTAACAGCAACAGCCACTCTCTCTCTCTCCTTCCTCTTCTTTTTCCCTTCCAGTGAGTGTGACTCTGGATCCAGATACCGCAAACCCCTTCCTTGTCCTCTCGGCGGACCAGAGGAGCATGCGGCTGGGGGACGTGTGGCAGGACGTGCCCGACCACCCCGAGAGATTTGACACGTACCCCTGCGTGCTGGGCTGCCAGGGACTCACGTCAGGGAGGCACTACTGGGAGGTGGAGGTGGGCGGCGGGCAATTCTGGGCAGTGGGCTTTGCCAAGGAGTCTGTCCACAGGAAGGGAGTGCTCACCCCTAGTCCTGCGGAACACGTCTGGGCTCTGCAACAACACGGGGATCACCTCGAGGCGCTCACCCACCCCGTGAGCACCCTGTCCACGTGCCGCTGCCTCAAGAGGGTGCAGGTGTTTCTGGACTACGAAGAGGATCAAGTGGCATTTTTTGATGCCGATACCTCCGCTTTGATCTACGTGTTTTCGCCCGCTGTTTTCAATCAGGAGAGGATTTTCCCTTGGCTTTGTGTGTGGCCAGGAACTGAGTTAAGGTTGTACCAGTGAGAATACTGATCTGTTTGCAGTATGGTAAATCACATACACACAGAAATAGCATGTCTAGCCCTGGACAGCTGTAGTTTCTATGACCCTGGAAGAGTGGCTTTACAGGCTCTGTTCTTCCTGTGAAGAGTCAGGTGGCCTAACCTAAGTCAGGGTTGATACTATGTTGTGAAATGAATCTGAATTCTGTTAAGACAACATCCAAATTCTGTGCCAGAATTATGGCAGTAAATTATAGAAATTGTATAATATTTTTAAAATATGTTTAGCTTGGTAATAAATGAAATGTGTTAAGATAACACAGAAATCATGCAAGTAAGAAGAGCTGTGCCAGATCAGGCTGAGGTCCAGCATTTGGGGAAAAATCCATGAACTCACCCGCGGGACATGAGTGCACGACACCTGCCCTCACCCCCCATATTCCCCAGCAACCAGAGCACATTGATACACAGCCTGTGATGCCAGAGGCCGCAGACAGTCCTCGGGACTGGTAGCCCTCTCCAGGAATTTTCCCGATCCCCTTTTCAAGCTGTCCAAAAGGCGGGCCAGCACTACATCCGTGGAAGTGAATTCCACAGTTTAACCCCATGTTGTGTTTCTTTTCATATGTCTGGAATCTCCCACCAAGAAGCTTCACAGAATGAGCTCAGTTCTGGTATTTGGAGAGAGGGAGAAAAATGTTCCCTTAGCCACTTTTATCATGCCATGGCTTTCTCTCTTCATAGAATTTAAACTTCAGTGGATTTTATAGATCTTGGTGTAGGTACTGGCAATAGCCCGGGAGAGCTCACTGACAGAGGGTTATTAGAAGTGGCACTTTGAAGATTTTTTAAAATGCAGATAGCCATGGCATGTGGGGCTGATAATTATTGGGATTGTAGCAGGTGTTTTATCCTGTCTTCCCCTCATGTGGTCCTGACAAAAATAACTCTTGGTTTCTGAGAGCCAGTGTGGCGTAGTGGTTAAGAGCACCGGTCTGGGTTCTAGTCCCCACTCAGCCATGGAGCCGACTGGGTGACTTGGGCCACTCACAGCCTCTCAGCCCAGCCTACCTCACAGGGTGGTTGTTGTGGGGATAAGACTGAGAGGAGTTGGAGGAGAATGGTGTAAGTCGCTTCAATTTGTTGAAAAAAGAAGAAAAGGTGGGATATAACATTCATAAATAAAACTCACCTGAAGTAGTTTGTACTGGTTAGAGTACTGGCTTGGGACTCAGAGATCCACGTTCTAGTCCCTGCTTGGTCATGAAGCTCCGACTGACTTTTGTGCCAGTCAAAGCTAACTCACAGTGTTGTTGTGAAATAGGAAACTGCCTGGAATTCCTTGCCAGGAAGAAAAAAGGTGTGATACCAGGGCAACAACTACAGTGCAAGCTCTTCCAGATTGTTCTTGGACTTCAACACCCATCAGCCATACTCAATCATGAGGGATGAAGAGAGGTGCAGTCCAAAAACATCTAATGGGCTACCATGTTCTTCAGCTTCCTTTCCGGCGTGCTCGTTACATCCCACCACTTTGGAATCTGAGACGATCACTAAAAATGAGTAGCTGTTGACCGAATCTCGGTTTTCAATTTGTGAGGAATGAACACTCGGACTTGTGGGGAAGATCTAAACCTCTTGAACCTCTGCGGCTTTATTGAATCAGTACCCCAGTTCCTGCAATCCCTAATGACAGTGCACTCCCAGGGAGAGGTAACTCAGCTACAAGGTCCCAGCCCATATACAGAGTGTTTTGTAACCTGCCAGTCATGTACACAAATACAGAGTATTAAATTCCCAGATAATGTTAGTACAATAGCATCTTGATGCCTTCATACATGAAATGATGCTCTAAACCAGCCTCCAGCAGTTTCTCAGTCCAGCTAAGAATTCCATCTTCTTAAGGCAGCAGCAACACTAAACAGTAACCGGGCTTGGGATTCTGCTGCTTTCTGAGAAAGGGGCGTAGGTTTGATTTTATAACACAAAGGCACATATAAGCAACCTTTTTCTACCAGGATTTATTCTGGATTTCCCCAACATCATTCACATATTGGTTTTATGTATTATTATTTTAAACATAACCGTAATCTGTACTCCCAGTGTAGCTCATACGAGATACTGAGCAGCTTAAATGCAATGACTTTTGCTTAAAAACATCCAAACAAACGAAAAGGTTTTCTTACTGTGTGTGCTAAGGGCACTTTCCTTATGTCTGGACCTGGTTCCGTGTCCTGTGGGTCACAGCTCAGTCTTTCCAGGCTTTTGGTCTCCAGATGTGGTTGGATGACCGTTCCAGCTGGCACAGCAAGCGGTCAGGGATGATGATACTTGTATTCCAACAGCTTCTGGAGACTCCTGCCTGGGGAGGGCTGAGTGTGCCGGGGAAACTTCCGTCTGCTGAGACAAATGGGATGAGGAGGATGCCTCAGCATTAGCAGTGCACTTGATCCAGAGCAAAGGGAAGGCTGGATGACCCCTTGGTACTCTAGCTTACCTAGAAGGAACCAGGCGGGAGCTGTGGCACAAAGAAAATGCTAACCTGGGGGCTTCCAGGAACAAGCTTGTCAGATTATCATCTCCTCCAGTCAGGGATGTTTTCTGTGTAGAGGATTCCACAGGAGCTATGGAAGGAAATGGGGGTGCCAAGAGCGTGAGGTGTGGTACTCCATGGAATGGCCACAGAAGCACAAATGGCTCTTGGAATCGCCTGCTGAATGGTCACAGGAGTTCTCTCAGATCTGTGGTACTCCCTGAATGCTGAACTGAAGTTTCTGTCATTAATTTTTGCAAGTAGTTCCATGCTGCAGCGTTCTTAGCTGTGGGAGTGTTACAAGACGGGGAGGGAAAATGATTTTGTTCCCACTAGAAAAGAGCATCAGAAGATTTCTGTGGGATCAGGCAAGGGATCACCTAGCCCAGCATCCTGTTCACACAGCAGCTGCCCAGCTGCCCACAGGAAATCCACAAACAGGGCATGCCTGCCCCTCAAGTTCCCCAGCAACCACCACATGCACCACACCCTCTCTGGTAGTAGCCAAGGAGAGCCCTCTCCACGAATTTGTCCAATTCACTTCTAACACCATCCAAGATGGCGGTCATTGCCACATCCCTGGGAAGCGAATTCCAAAGTGTAACTATGTGCTGTGTGAAGAAGTCTTTCCTTTGATCTGTCCTGAATCTGCCACCAATCAACTTCATGGGGTGACCCCTTTGGGTCCTAATATTATGAGAAAGGGAGAAAAATATCTCTCAATCTGCTGTCAACACACCACAATTCAGGGCACCTCTCTCAGAATTCTGACAGACCACCACTAGGCAGGCTGGACCTCCTGGCACAGCCTACTTTGTCCTAGTTTCTAAGTTCGAGTGCTGACAACCCCTCCCTTTCAGCCCAGGCTTGGAGTGGGAAAGGGGAAAGGAAAGGGGGAGAAAGGGAAACGGAAAAGGTGCTTTGGACTTTACTTACCAAAGTCCAGAAACAGAATATGTAACAAAACCCTTTTAAAAATCCTAAAACACAAGTAGTAGCTCTGTAACCGAGTGAACTTTCACATGGCTAAGGTTTTACTGAGAAATCCCTTTTAAAGTCACACAGCCAAATGTCCTCCTCTTGCAAAAACAAAATAGAGAAAAGAGAGAATTTGGTTAGTGGCTGGGAATCAAGGAAAGTAACAAATCACACTCACACAATTCCAAACAAAATCAAAAACTCCTTCTATGTTATATAGTCACATTACCTACTTGGTCTAAGGGCATAATGTTGAATTTGCTGCAGAAAGGATGTTCTGAGGCAGCAGACATTTGACTTCCAGGTTGATGCTATATGGAAATCTCTACAATGACTGGATGAACCTTTCTTTATATGGGGATCTCAGCTCAGTAAAGACCAACGTCTTTGCACCTCCTCTGGTTTGTCCAGAAATATGATATCCTTCATTTCTGATGTCAGTGGTCTAACCAACAATTCAGAAAATGAACTACTGTAAATTAACTTATCAGGCATCCAAGGTGCCCCTGTTCACAAGAGGGGATTAAGGGTTGGATTGTATTTTGGAGGACAAAAAAGCAAGATAAAGCGAGTTCAAGCCATTCAGGTTCCCTTGCAGGGTGCCAATTGACCAGACCCTCAAAGGGACACAGTGAATCCATATCACAAGGACAAGGACATCACAGGGTCTGTTCCTATTCTAAACATCCCAGAATGACCTTTTATCAAAAACCAGCCTTCAGACAATGAGCTCCCATTGAATGACATCACCTGAATACCTCAGCCTATTAACACTCCTTTGTTAAAGGCAAGATTCTGCCCAGATATGACCTTATAATAGAGGTGGCAAAGCTCCAGGTGCTTTTGTATGTCCAATGGTTGTAATACATGGAGTGAGGCTGGAAGCAGCTCAGGATTGGAGGAGATTAGATGTGGAACTGTTGTGGTTACTGTACTTTGTTCCTAAATCCTGTCTCTGCATTCCTCTGTCTCTGCATTCAAAAGAAAACCCTCTTTCTCTGAATTCCATGCAACAGTCCTTCCCAGTCTGTTCCATCGAAGGCACAGAAGTGGCCCTCAAACGGCCCTCTGGCTCCAGAGTGTTGACATTCAGCTTTGGCAACGCCTCTTGCACAAGAAAGTTTCTGCCAGTTCCTCTACTATGATGCTTGCTGGAAACCGACCAGAAAAAGATTGGGGAAGGAAGTTGCATTCTTTGCTCCTGTCCCTCTGCAAGCAGACACATCAATCGGCTGCTGCCTCGTATTGCCTGGGGCCACAGGACAGCTTTGATGCAGGACGGGGAGCCCCATGCGAGCCCTGCGACAGGCTGCTGCGAGCTCCATCGGGCCAGAATATTTCAAGGGCCCAGTCTCCACTGAGCGTGGGCACGATTCCTGCCTGGGCCGCATCATGCGGTGCCGTGAGGCATCCAGGGGACTGCTCTGTTGTCTGCACTGCTGATGTCTGACGAGCTGGCTAGGGAGATTGCAGACCAAACAGGGAACTGGCGAGTGCGGCTGAAACAGCCAACGGTTCAAGCTGCAGGCCAAAACAGCTGCAGGAAGCCAGGGAGCCCGTAGCAGGCACCAAGAGCCCCTCCAGCTGCCCCTTTTTCAAGATGACAGGGCGCTCATTTGGGTAGCATGTGACAGATTCAAGGATCACCGACTACACACTGTGCTTTGCCCAAAGGAGGCTGCCCTGCGCTAGAAGGTCTGGCACTGGCTGCCCAGCGCCTTTGCCCCTTGTGTGGAGTGTCCTGCTGTAACCACTCCAGCCATCGTCTCCTTGAGTTTCTTTCCTGGCATCCAAAATGTGCCTGCTTTT